GTTCTTATGCCGCATGGACAAGTTTGAAACCAGTAGACTTCGGATTCTGGATGATTTCACCCTGGAGATGTCCATGGATAGTCGACCGCAGGAGAGAGGCTCGTCTTTGACCTCCATCAACGTGCACCTTGATCCGCTTGTGTTGCGGCTTTCACTCCGCGATATCTTGATGGCGATTCAAATTGTGAACAAGGCCTCTGAAATGACCGCTCGCAGGACCCAACAGGCTCAGACTGGTCAGGCTAAGAGAATTTCCGACAGCAAGGCCAATGCCTCTAAAATCAAGAGAAAGTCTGTTGGCAGACCGCCTTCAACGGCCGTTGTTCCAAGGGCTCGGCAAGGCTCCGGCGAGGAGGACGATTTACATCTGAGTGCGCAACGCTCAGCGGTGTTGAAGCGCGAAGAGCTGAGTGTCCACGTTGATGGTATCCGGGTCATCCTCATCGGTGACCTGCATGATCTCCCCCTGCTCGACTGGAGTGTCAAGGGATTCTCGGTGGACGTCCGTGACTGGTCGTCCACACTCAGCGCGGAGACCAATTTCGACACATTCATTAACGTGTATAACTTCTCCAAGTCTGCTTGGGAGCCGCTCATAGAACCCTGGCAGTTGGGATTCCACATGGCCAAGGAAACCCACCCGGATATCCTGTCTATGGACGTCTATTCCCACAAATCGCTCGAGCTTACTCTCACCTCGGCTACCATTGCCCTGGCGTCGAAATCATTTCAGTTCCTGTCTACCGATGAAGATGTCCTCTCCAAGCCGAGAGGTGCTGATGCGCCTTACCGCATTCGCAATCACACTGGGTTTGATCTCCATGTTTGGGCCGAGAGCACTGGGGATGAAGAGGGACCAGCTGCTCGGCTGGACGACGGCGAGGAGTATCCTTGGAGATTTGAGGACTCGACCGCTATACGTGAGACCTTGACACCGGAAGGTCACGCTGGGCTTGTTGGAGTGAAGCTCGAAGGCAGCGGATTCGAGAGCGTTGGCCGTATCCCCGTTGTGAGGGAGGGTGAGATTGTGTACAACTTGAAGCCGAAGAAGGATAGTGTGCTCCACCGCCTCCTCGTCGAAGTCAAACTCGGAACCGACAACGTGAAGTATATCACATTCCGCTCGCCGCTGGTTGTTGAGAACAATACCCAGATCCCGGTGGAACTTGGCATCTTCAGCCCTGGCGACGGGCATCTTCTGAAGATCGAGAAGATCCTCCCTGGCGACGCTCGACCTGCGCCTGTGGGAGCAGCCTATATGCATTCTCTCGTCGTACGACCAGACCAAGGCTTCGGCTATGACTGGTCGAACGAGCAATTATACTGGAAAGACCTGATGCGACGGCCCACTCGGACGTTGAAGTGTCTGAGTGAGAGTGGCCAACAGGCTCCTCCATTCTATTTCCAAATGAATGCCACATACAACAAGCGAGACTCTTTGACAAGCGTTTATCCTTACATGCGGATCCGGATCTTTGCCCCGGTTGAGATTCAAAATCTGTTGCCGTATGACTTCAAGTACCGCATATACGACAAGAACACGCGGAAGGACTGGACGAATTTCCTGCGTAAGGGCGGTGTCAGCCCCGTTCATGTGGTTGAGCTCTCGCACCTCCTGCTTCTCAGTGTCGACATGGAGGATACGGTGTTTAAGCAGAGTGATTTTGCGATTGTCAACGGCAACGCGCAAGATTTCCGAAGGGAGCATACTCTTTCTCTCAAGGACGAGCGTGGTATACAGTTGAAACTGAAACTCCACTACTTCAATGTGCCTGACAGTGGAGGTGCGTTCAAGGTGTCGGTTTACAGTCCGTACCTCGTCTTGAACAAGACAGGCCTGCCCATGGAGATCCAAAGCAAGGCCTTCCTGCAGTCGGCTCGATCAGCAGCTGGCCAGGGACTAAGGGCCGATTCGAGACATGGCGGACGCTCGCTTCCCTACATGTACTCCTACCAGACCGAAGACCCCAAGAACCGATCTATGCTGAGGATCGGAGAATCCGCCTGGAGCAGGCCTCAGAGTTTCGAGGCCATCGGGAGCACGTTCGAGGTCATGCTCCCAGATAGACATGGGAAATCTGAGTTCCATGCAGGCGTGTCTGTTGCCGAGGGTGAAGGCAAGTACAAGCTGACCAAGGTTGTCACCATCGCGCCGCGGTTCGTCCTCAAGAACAAGCTCAACGAAGATGTCCTGGTGCGGGAGCCTGGCTCCTCGAACGTCCTGACCATCAAGAATGGCGAGCTCATCCCTCTCCATTTCTTGCGCCAGGTTCCGGAGAAACAGCTTTGTCTCTGCTTCCCGGGCGTGAACAACCAGTGGTCCTCCCCGTTCAACATCGCGGATGTCGGAACTGTCTATGTCAAGCTTGCCAAGGCGAACCAGCGCCAGAAGCTCGTCAAGGTTGAAATCATCGTGGAGGGGGCGACGCTGTTCCTTCATTTCAACATTGAGACGCGGAATTGGCCGTTCTCAATGCGGAACGAGAGCGACATGGAGTTTATCTTCTACCAAGCGAATCCGAGCCTGGAAGACGACGAGGATGATCGAACTAACAGCTGGCGACCTATTCGCTACCGGCTGCCTCCTCGAAGCATCATGCCATACGCTTGGGATTACCCCGCGACGAAGAACAAGTCGCTCGTCCTGAGCTGCAATGGCAAGGAAAGACGTATCAAGCTTGCCGAAATCGGCAACTTGATACCCATGAGGATCCCCCCGGCTCAATATGGCGAACAGCAGAAAATTATCGACATCAATATCGTCGCCGACGGGCCTACGCAGACTCTGGCCCTGTCGAACTTCAAGCAGTCCAAGAGTATGTACCGGCAGCAGAAGGCCCAAAGTTCGCAGACCAGCGTGAGCACCGGATTTGAGGTCAAGGAGCTGGACTCTGATGTCAATTTCAAGGCCCAGCTCCGCCTTGGGGGGATTGGTGTTTCCTTGATCAATAAGAATCTGAAGGAGTTGCTCTACTTGACTTTCCGTGAGATTGAGATCAAGTTCAGAGAGTCGAGGGTCTACCAGACTATGAGTACGACGATCAAGTGGATCCAGATTGACAATCAGCTGTATGGAGGTATCTTCCCCATCCTGCTGTATCCCAGTGTGGTGCCGAAGACTGGGAAGGAGATGGAAGCGCATCCCATTTTCCATGCCATGGTCACGCGGGTTAAGGACGACTCGTATGGTGTGCTCTATATTAAGTATGCCACCTTACTGCTGCAGCAGATGACGCTCGAGCTTGATGAAGATTTCGTGTTTGCGATGCTTGATTTTGCCAAGATTCCCGGAGCGTCGTGGTCGGAGGAGCAGGAGGGCAGGCTCTGCGACGAGGATCTGAATATCCCCGAGCCGCAGGGCAAGGGCGTTGGCCAGGACGTGTATTTCGAACTCCTTCACCTGCAACCCATGCAGCTGGACATATCGTTTATGCGCACCGAGCACGTGAACGTCGAGGACACGATGCAGCCTTCGAACCCGTTGATGTTCTTCGTCAATGTGATGACCATGTCAATGGGCAACGTCAACGACGCGCCCGTCCGCCTGGACGCTCTGATGCTGGAAAACGCCCGTGTCTCCCTCGGTGTTCTCGTCAGCAATATCCAGCGCCATTACACTCAGGAATTCCTTGGGCAGGTGCACATGGTTCTCGGGTCTGCCGACTTCCTGGGCAACCCGGTGGGCCTGTTCAACAATGTCAGCTCTGGCGTTGCTGCCATCTTCTACGAGCCATACCAAGGCCTAGTAATGACGGACCGACCCCAGGAGCTCGGCTACGGCATTGCCAAGGGCGCCACCAGCTTCGTGAAGAAGTCCGTCTTTGGTTTCTCGGACAGTATGGCGAAATTGACGGGCAGCATGTCCAAGGGTCTTGCCGCTGCTACCCTCGACAAAGAATTCCAAGATCAGCGCCGCATGTCGAAGTCCCGGAACCGTCCGAAGCACGCGCTCTATGGCATCACAGCCGGCGGGAACGCGTTCGCAACCAGTCTCGCCAGCGGCATAGGCGGCCTCGCACGGCACCCACTGCAAGGCGCCGAGAAGGAAGGCATCCAAGGCTTCTTCAAGGGCGTCGGCAAGGGTGTCCTAGGCCTAGCGACCAAGCCAGCCATCGGAGCCTTCGACCTCGCATCGAACCTCGCCGAAGGCGTCCGCAACACGACCACCGTGTTCGACGCAGAGGGGCTCGACCGCGTGCGCCTGACGCGCTTCATCGGCACAGACGGCGTCGTCCGACCCTACTCACAGCGGGAAGCGCTCGGCCAGTTCTGGCTCAAGACAGCCGACGACGGACGGTACTTCAACGAGGATTACATCGCGCACCTGGAACTCCCCGGACGCGACATGCTGGTCATGTTGACATACAAGCGCATCATGCTCGTGCGCACCAAGAAACTCCAGACCGAGTGGGACATCCACCTCACGGACATCCAGACCATCTCCAAAGAGCGCACCGGCATGAGCATCACCCTCAAGGGCGGTGCCAACGGCCCCTTCATCCCTGTCCAGGACGAGAGCGCTAGAAACTGGCTGTATCGCCAGATTGCGGTTGCCGTTAACGCGTTCAACGAGAAGTATAACGGTCGGTAGAGTCATTCTATCTGTTTTCTCTGCTGTATACCTATCTAAATAGATAAATGGGGTTGTTGATGAATCGACAGCCGCCGAGACTGGGAAGGGAGGGGTGAAGATGATATGACAGTAACGAGCTTTTTTGTTGTGTTATTGACTTTGTTTCTTTTACGATTGTGGGGCAAAATTCTAGCATCATAACTTGTTTCAGATGAGATTCACCTTTTTTCGTCTTTTTATCTTATCATCATTTCATCTCTTTTTTTATCTCTATTTTTCTTATTGATTTTTTGTTCCTTGGAATGTTGTTTTGCGTGTGTTGTGTATATACTACTTAGCACTTCATTCTGCTTAGGCGGTCACTGATTGAATTAATTTCTCTTACTTCTGATATAGCTCTGTCTCTTGGTAGATGATAGATGTGTATGCTTTATATACGTATGAATTATCCTGTCAATACTAGCTATATTGAGGTTCATTAGTAGACGAGTAGAGAGAAGGAAGATGGACAATGTATAGGCCTGATAACTCAAATCGGCTAGATAGGTACTACAAGACAGGCGCTGGATTCTATCACCATCCCGAACACTAGTTACCGACATAAGCAGGTAAAACATAAATATACAAGATTCCAAAATAAGATAGAAAAGAAAAGGATATCGTAACCGTCATCAAAAGCACCAAAACAAGTAAACAACTAGACCAGAAAATTCGAAAAGAAGAGATGAGAAGAGAAGGAATTACTTTCCCTCAGCCTTCTCGACCAACCTCTCCTCCAACCCCATCGGTTCCCAGACCTCCTTGGCCCGCTTGTTCTGCACCCAGACGACGTCGCCTTGCAGGTAGGCCACCACGCCGCCTTTGCCGGTTGCGCTGGCGGTGATGCGGAAGAGGGGCTGGCCGTTTTGTGGGTGCGCTTCGCGGAGGGGGAGCATGATGAGGCCTTGTTCTTGGCACCATGATTCCAGGATGTCTTTGAAGGAGATTTCTTCCATGGCTCGGGGTTTGTGTTCTGGTGGTGGTGGCTGTGATGGCTGGTGGTCTTGTTTGGGGAGGTCTGAGGGGTGGTGGTGGTTGTTTCGGGGGCTGTGGGGGGAGGAAGTTCGGTAGCGGCGCGGTCGCCAAGTCGGGAGGCGAGGTCCATTGAGCGGAGACCTTTGTTCCATTCGTCGTCGACGATGGTGAGCTCGTTGAGGGGGGCTGGGATTTGGCCGCGCCACCAGGAGAACCACTCGGCGACTTCGTCGTAGTTGGGGTCGTTGGTGAGCCAGATGTAGAGGATGTGGTGCCATTTGGGGAAGAACTCGGCGACGAGGAGGAGGCCGAGGACGTTGGGCTTGAAGAAGGGCTGCCACTTGAGGACGTTCTCGAGGGCCGTGAGGTCCTGGTCTTGTGGGTTGACGTCGAAGTCCTCGCGGAGGTGGCGGGCCAGCCGCGGTAGCAGGTGGTTGCGGAGGCAGACGTCGAACTCGGAGCCTAGCGCGTCGCGCCATAGCTCGATGCCGCTGATGAGTCCCCGGCCTAGGTCCCAGGTGTCTAGGACGACGCGGAACTTGCGCTTGGCGTCGGATAGGAGCCCTGTCGCTTGCTTCGGGTTCGTGTGTCGGTCGTCCAGGTATTGCAGCCAGGTGAAGAGCCACCAGGGGAATCGGGCACTGTTGGCTGGTGAGGATCCGTGTCGTCGGCTGCTGGCGCGGGGCTTCCATGCCTTTAAGCCGCCGGCGAGCTTGGGCACGACTAGCTGGTCAAGCACGTTGGCGTAGACGAATGGCGGGAGCAGGTCTTTCCAGGCGACGAGGAGGGAGGTGGCGGGTGACGAGTCGAACACGTCCCACTCGTTGAGAAGCGCCGAGCGCACGCGAGGAAGCCAGAGGGTGTAGATCATGGTCTCGTAGGGGGTGGTCGACTGTCGTTGGGTTGGCTCGCTGTTCTTTTTCCGCGTTAGGAGGGGCCGGAGACGGTGGAGATTGGATACTAGGAAGGTCGGGTCTTGGAGCGGCTCCCAGTCCTCCATCGCCCGACGGAAGAGCGGGTGCAGCGCGGCCACCGCAACCTCGGGCAGCCGGTATTCGTCAATCTCGGCTTGGTACCTGGTCTGTAGAGCCTCGAGCTTGTCGGTGACCTGGTCGAACTGGACCCGCGTGTCGTCACTTTGGACGAGCTCCAGCTGGCCGATGGCCGTCACCAACTCCGTCAGCTGATCAGAACGGAGTTGCTGCGTGTCCATCTGCTCCACGATCTGGGCCTCCTCTAGCTCGATGAACCGCTTTCTCTCCGTCAAGCCCTTCCATTCGTCGGCGAAGGCTTCCAGGTCGTTGCGCGCCCGACGGGCGATCTTCAGCGCCTCCCCTTCGCCCTGATTGACGAACTCCTGGGACGCCATTAAACCAGCAGTCGACGTGAGCACCCGCTGCTCTTTCCCGGTAGCATCGACCAACGACTTGAGCACATTGGGCACCTCCAGGCCTTCCATGTCCGCTTCCATCTCGCGGGCTGTGCGGAACTGGGGTTTCGGCCGCGCGACCGGCGTCCCCGAGCCACTGCGAGCCTCCTTCTTGCGCTCCGCCTTCTTCCTCTGCCGCTTCTTGCGTTCCTCGTCAGAGCTGTCCTCCAGTTTCTCCCCGCGCTGAGCAGCAGCCCGTTTCTCTTCCTCGCGCGCCTGCTTGGTCTTCTCGCGGACCACACCCAGACCGGCACCCGACGGACGGGCCTGAGCCTCGATGGGGTTGACGATACCCTGACCGCTGGATCCGAGACCTTGTCCCTCAACATATCCCATTTTGGCCATCATGCGCGCGGCGAAGGAATTGGCGCCTCCGCCTCCGCCGCCGCTCGGGGTGCTCCTCCCGGATGGCATGTTGCTCCCATTGTTCTTCCACGGATTGCGACGACCACTCCCCAGACCGCCCATCGACGCGGGAGGGGACTCGGAGCGAGAGGATGCACGGGCGAACCCGCGAAAGCCCATGGTCGGGCGGGCGTCTTCTTCGGAGTCGGAGCTCATGTCGGCGACTTTGCGCTTGTGACCGGGGTTCGTGGAGGGATCCATCAAGACGGCCGTGTAGCGACAGTTGACGGATGTGCAAAACGGAAAGAATCGGTCATACAGCGTGAGTTGACGCCATGGAGAGGGTTGAGGCAGAGGATGATGTCGCCGTCCTTCACATCCAGCGATGTCAATATCAAAACGACAGCTGCTGAGTCAGCGGAGAGCTGTCTGCTGAGTCACCCCTGAGTCAGCCGGTCCACACGGGCAGCAACAACAATGATGTAATGGAATCCCCGTCTACCCGAGGAAGTCAGCTCTCCATCCTTGTCCTCACCTTTTTTTTCCGTTCCTCCTCTTCTCTTCTTACACCCTTCCTCTCTTCCCAATCTGTCAATCCTCCCCCTCTCACTATCCAACTGATTCTTATTTCCCCGTTAAATCTCTATAATTAATCATGGCTGCCTCTCTTCTTCGCACCTCCACTCGCTCCGCCCTGCGCGCTGGAGCTTCGGCTGCGCCCAGAGCCGCTGGTGTCGCGGGCACCACCTTCTGCCGCGGCAAGGCCACTTTGCCTGACCTGCAATGTACGTATCCTGGACGAGTATCTCCGGTGGCGTTGGCCGTGTAACTTGGGAAAGCAGCAAGGGAAAAGAAGGTGATTGCTAACCATCGAAGATGACTTCGGCGCCCTGGAGCCGTCCATCTCGGGCAAGATCATGGAGCTTCACTACAAGAACCACCACCAGACCTATGTCAACAACTACAACGCGTCCGTCGAGAAGCTGCAGGAGGCCCAGCACAAGGGCGACATTGCCGCCCAGATTGCGCTGAAGCCCGCCATCAACTTCAACGGCGGTGGTCACCTCAACCACAGCCTGTTCTGGGAGAACCTGGCCCCCAAGAGCGCCGGCGGCGGCGAGCCCCCCTCCGGTGCCTTGAGCAAGGCCGTCAACGACAGCTTCGGCAGCGTTGAGCAGTTCCAGAGCCTGATGAACGCCGCGCTCGCGGGCATCCAGGGCAGCGGCTGGGCCTGGTTGGTCAAGGACAAGCAGACCGGCGGCCTCGCCATCAAGACCTACGCCGTATGTTGATTCTATGTGAAATGGAGAGAACCGGGAAGGGATCTTGACGCTAACTTCCTACAGAACCAGGACCCCGTTGTCGGTCAGTTCGAGCCCCTGCTGGGTATTGATGCTTGGGAGCACGCCTACTAGTAAGTGATCTCACTCCCTCATATCTTGATTCTAGGCCAGCAGAACGCTAACATCTCCCAGCCTGCAATACCAGAACCGCAAGGCCGAGTACTTCCAGGCCATCTGGGACGTGGTCAACTGGAAGGCCGTGGAGAAGCGTTTCTCTTAGAGAACGGCGGGATGAGTAATGTGGTGTAAACCAAGAATCTATGTCATAGGAAATTCAGCAATCTAGCGCTCTTCATTGGACTACATATCGTAGGATATCTCCCCATTAGGGATATCATTGTCGTCATCCCGGAAGTTTTTCCCCCCAAGACAACCGCCGCCGATCCATCCGGGCTTATGTCAGCCACATATTTTATCCAGCTTTATGCTTGGCGATGCCTAATCCGTTATACAAGCATAGATAATCTTATCCCTCTTCGTCTTCGCCTCTGCTCCCTGTTCCTTCTTCTTCTTTTTCCTCCTTTCCCCTTTCCTTGTAACCTTCTATTCCCCCCTTTTGCTTACCCCTCCATGGCGGCCGACAGCCCCGGTGAACGTCGTGGCTTTCGAGCCTTTTTCGCCAGCGCCCTCCGACCCAAGAAATCCCGCCAGGTCCTGCGCAAGGGCGGCTTCAGTACCTCCACGCCAGATCTCCGACCCTCCACCAGCAGCAGCAGCGTATACACGGCCCCCGGCGCCCGCTTTCCCGACGATGACGTGCCTCCAATGCCCTCCCTGGCCCCGCTCGAGGCCCACCGCGCCAAGTACCGCGCGATCAATGCCGGCAAGGATACCCAGCTGGGCGAGACCCGCGACCCCACGGCCATGCTGCACGCCCTGGGGGTCCAGGAACTCGAACACGACCCCAATGCGCCGGACGACATGCATGACAACCGGCCGCCGGGCGAGCCCGACATAGCCAGCCTCTCCGCCGACCTGTGGCAGCGCATCGCCGACGAACTCAACCCCGCTGGCCGCGCCAGTCTCATCTTCGCCAGCAAGACCCTCCTATCGCGGCTAGGCCCCGGCGCCTGGTGGGCGCTCGATGAGCCCGATAACACCCCCTACAAGGGCGACTTCCTTGCCTCCCAGGACCGACATTACCCGCACCACCTCCTCTGCTTCCCTTGCGGCGTCTTCCACCGCCGCACGCAAGAGGGCGCCGAACGCCTCCAGCCAGCCGGCACAGTCAACCCGCTCTTCGACTGCCCCAACGCCCGCAACAGCGCGCTGCCGTCCCCGCGCCACCGCATCACCCACGGCCGCGTCCTCTACTTCGTCTTCGTGCAGCTCTCCATGCGCGCCCACCGCTTCGGTCCCCGCTACGGCATCCCCGCCGAGACCCTCAGCCGGCGCTGGCGCCGCGACGGCTGGTGGCACAACACCCGCTACTACATCCACCGCAACCACCTGCTCATGCGGGTCGTCAGCTCGACGTTCGCCGAGGCAGGCCTGACGCCCTCCGCGCAGCGCATGCTCCTCTACTCGCGCGAGGACTACTGGCCCTACTTCTCCGCCTGCGCCCACTGGCGCGACGGCGAGCTCATGAACATCTGCAAGTGCGCCCTCGGCCACATCCCCCAGTCCCGCGCCACTGCCGGCCTCCAGGGCCTCGAACACCGCGCCAAGGACAAGTACCACGGCCGCACCCACAACCCCAACGCCCTGACCACCCTCTGCGGCCGCTGTCGCCCCATGCGCCGCTGCCCCGAGTGCCCCTCGGAGTACCTCGTCGAGGTCAAGCTCACCGAGGACCGCTCCGACCCCCGCGCGCTCCGCTTCCGCCAGGCCATCGTCGTCACGCGCTGGTGCGACCTCGGCGACGGGACGTCCCCGCACACGTCGCCGGAGTGGTCCGCCTGCAATGGCGAGAACGTCGATCACCCGTTCGATTCGTTCGCCAGGTTCAGCAAGCGCTCTATCGCGGGGACGTTCGAGGCGGCCTTTACGGATGATACCTTGCCGGGGCAGCGGATGCTGTCTTTGAATCCGAAGGGGAAAAAGTTGGGAGAGGAGGGAACGGGGTGGTATTAAGTTTTCTTATCGTCTGCTTTTGTCTTTCCTTCTTTTCCTCTTTTCATCAATTTTTGTTTATTTATTCTTTCCCCTCGCGGATGGCGTTCCCATGGACCATGGATATGGATATCACTTTTTTAATCAATAGTTTTTTCTTTCTTTTATATTGCATTTGGCTGGGGTGGGGGTTTTCTCTCTCTTTTTGTGTTTTTACCAAATACAGGATAAAACGGAGTTGGAATGGATTGATGGGCTGGACTTGGTTGTGGTGTTTAAATTGGGAATGGGATTGGGATTGGAATGGATTATGGGTAGAGGATTTGCATGTATTCTTATATTTTGTTTTTAAATTACGTTGATTTTTATATAGAATGATTGGATAGATGGATTTTATTTATATTCAGGTCTTATCTGATTCGTCCTTCGTTATATCATGTCTTATATTGATTTCTACGGATACTAAGAACCACTAACTCCCAGGGGTAAGTTATAAGCTTTCTATTTTTAGAAACAGAGAGAGAAAAGAAAGAATTCAGAAGCAAGAGAGTGACTACTACATCAGACAATAAGTTTCAAAAAACAACACTAGAAAGAAGAAGAAGAAGAACAGAAGAGAAGAAAAGAGAAAACAGCATATCGTAAATCACATCAAGGAGTATATCAATTAATCGATGGTGGTATAGGCCAGCTAGATACCAGGGTAGAATATCAAGATAGGGTACCAGGAGAAGAAGTCATTTCATTCCGTGGAATCAAGTGAGAAGGTAAGGAAGAAAGCAAGAATGGATTGGGTATGTATGTATGTATGCGTTCCTTCGGGAATGGAAGGAAATCAAAGGAAAGAAAAGAAAAGGGAAGGAGTCCAATGCGTGGGTATCGTTCGTGTCGTGATGAGGACTGACCTCTTCGAGCCGGTGTAATCGTAGATTGGAAGGGAAGAATGAGAGAGAGAATAAACGAAATGAGAAAAAGGAAGAACCAGAAAGGAAGGAAAGAGCCATGCAAGATGTACACAGAATGCAAGTTAGAAAACGAAAAGAAAAAAAAAGTCAAGGAATGAATCACCCCCGACGAGGTCGTCTGTCCATATAGCGCGGTCTCCAACCACCATCATCCTCGTCCGTCCGCCCCGCAGGACGCACCGGCGGCGCAAAGTCCGTCACGGAGACGTTCATGGACGCCATATCAGCAGCGGCAGGCTTGGGAGGCTCCGCGGGGGCTCGCTCCGGCGCCAGACGGGAGGATGCTCTGTCCTTGGGCACGGAGCTCAACGATGAGGACAGCGTCGCTGAGGTGTCTGAGTCGGACTTCTTCGAGCCCAGCCCACTGGCTCCTTTCATCCAGCCGAAGATGCCCAGGGAGCCGCGGCGCCGGTGGTGGTCTTTGCTTCCTAGGGAGGCGCGGGCGGTTGCGGAGTGGGATTCTGTGAAGGATTGGGCCAGCGGGCGTGGTGCTGTCCCGTCGTCGGCGTAGGTGGGTAGCGATGCGCTGAAGTCGGTTGGGGTGGAGACGAGGTCCTTTGGACCGGGTCCGGATAGGAAGTCTTCCTCGTTGAGGGGCGTCGTTGCTGCTTTGGGTGGCCTCGTGGGACTTTGTGTTTGTCGGCTTTTTCGAACTATGGGGGCTGGTGCGCCGTCGTCTGGGTCGGTGTCGGTGACGGGTGCCGCGTGGAGCCAGCGGGAGGTGATCGAACGGGCGAAGAATGGATTGCGGAGGCTGAGTCGGTGTCGACGCGCCTGTTCCCGGCCACCTTCTCGCTCTGGCTGTGCGGAGGGATCAAGGGGAGGGGTCGGGTCGAGCTCTAGCGAGGACAAGTCGAGCGTAGGGATGCCGGGGATCTCTGCGTCTCGCACGCCGGTATCGATGCTGTGCCGACGCCCGAGGAAGGAGGTCTGGCTGGGTGCCCGCGCGCCGACCAGGCGAGTCTCGGCGGGCAGGGGCCCCTGGCGGGGCCCGCGCGGGGACCCGGTTCTCGTCCGGGTGTCAGACTTGGCGGCCTCGATCCAGTCCTGGGGAGTCAACGGGGGCGACGATGATGGCGAGTACGCGGGCTCTCGGGTGGCCCGGCGCTGGGTTGGGGCATAGTTGTTCTGGTCCATATTCGACAGCACCTTCTCCAAGCCCTCCTCGTTGAACAATACATCCTCGCCGTGGTAGTCGTAAGTCCGCTGGTTGAGCGTCTCCTGGCTCAGAAGACCGTCGCCCCGGGCGGTGATGCTGTTCAGCGGGTAGATCGTGGGCGGTTCATCGTCGTCATCGAGGCTGGCTCGGGGCAGGGTGCAGTCACTCATGTTCAGGTCCATGCTCTCGGAGAGACTCCGCAGCGAAGTGAGCTCACCGGCCGAACGAGGACGACCAAGGCGGCGCTTGACAGGGAGAAGCGGGTCCACATAGCCCTTCTCGCCAGGATGGCTTCCTTGCGAGCCAGCGGAACCGTTGGGGCCACCTGCGTACGCCGTGCTCATCGTGTCCGGTGTTGGGGGGAGCCTGGCGCTGCCAAAGACGCTGTCCAGCGGCGTTCGCTGGCTGGAGCTGTTCAACGAACCGCTATCGAAACTCAGCTGGTCCATCTTGAGAACGGGGTTCGAATTCTCCTGGACCGTCGAGGCCAGCATGTCATGCTGGTATGGTCGAAGCAAACAGCCGATGGGGAGCGGCGCCGCCTCACGATGGCCTGCGTTGGGTGTCGCATCCGCGATGGGTGCTACCTTCGGCCGGACGGGAATTTCCAGTTCATCAAATCCGTGGGATCCAACGAAACTGGTGTCAGGGTTCAGTTCGCTACATTCGCTCAAGGCGCTGAGGCGCGGCGATTCAACCTCGGCCATCTCGTTCATAGAATTGCAGCTCTCGGTCTGAGTGAGCGCACTCATGCCCGGATGTACTTCCTCCTCAGGTGCGTACAGACTTCGCAGGGCCGCCGTCCGCGTGGTCTCATCGCGGAGGAATGACGGCGCCGACTTGAGGTGACGGGTTCCGGGTGAGACGCGCCGGTGGCGGTCGGGCGTTCTCGTCCCTTTCCTCGACGACGACCTCTGGGGAATTTCCACCGCGATCCTCCCCTTCGGCGTGACCGCACCGGGGTCTTCGCTCGGATAAGCCGCAGCCGGCCTCGCCATTGGACCGCCCGTTTCCAGACGATCGACCTTAGCTTCGAGTTGACAGATGAGATCGACTGCCTCCGTTACGGCCTGGTCGCGCTTGTCGATCTCATGTCGCAGCTGCTCATTGGACTCTCGCAAGCGGTGGTTGTCCTCCTCGGCATCACGCAGCTCGGACAGCTCATCCTCCAACCGCTCCATCCGCCGAAGCTCTTCCTGCAGTTCCGCCATCCGTTCCAGCTTCTGCTCCATGACCGCCATCTGTTGGACTCGGTGGAAGATCTCGAGCTTGAGGTCAAAGTTTTGTTTATTGATTTTCGAGACGTACTAGTAACGATTAATCACCGACCGACGAGCCGCCATGGGGTTCACGCCACTCACGTGGTCCATTTCCCTCATACCCATTTCTCGAGGTTGTTTCAGACCTGCCGACAGGGCGTTGTTCATTTTCCGCTGGCGTTCGGACCCGGACTCTTCCTGGGACTGGGAATGTGATTGGGACTGGGATTGGGACTGGGACTGGGGCTGAGATTGAGATTGGGGCTGCGATTTAGAGACCGATCGGGAACGAGTACGGGCCGCGCTTGGGGTGCGGAGCACGCTGCCTTCCAGATCCTCTGTGGACGAGCCTCGTGCGCCTCTAGAGGCACGTTGTTCGTTTAGGAGATCCTGGAGTAGGGCTGAAGACGGGTTCACGAGAGCGGTCATCGGGGGCTCGGGGGTCCCTGTATGGGCAGTCAGCTACCACGCTATATAGTTCCACATCCGTCGCGTTTGCGATGCACATACTCGACCGGGATCTCGCCGTGGGCGTGCGGGGGTTGCCCGACATGGGGGACGGGTCATTCATCCATGACATTTCTGCAACCTGATCAATATGGGGAGCGTACGCCGACGGAGGGATCCATGGAGGTCTGTCGTACCTGTGCTGGCTCGTGACGGCGTCTGCATTGCGATCTTACCCTTGACTCGGGTCAAGGCTTTCGGCTTCGGGAGCTCTAAAATGTCTAGATAGAAGAGGAGTTTAGTCGGGAGGCAGGTATCCCTTGGGCAAAACCAACAAGGGTGCAACACAAGTGATCTAGGCGCGAGTGGACTGACTTTTAGGCTTGGAACGGTGTCTCGGAGGAGCGCTGTCATTTGGGGGGGTCGTGGCGGGAGGAGAGAAGTCGGGCTGCAAGGACGAAGGGATGGAGGACGATTGCACGGCGACCGTGCTTTGGATTTGAGGAGTCTGATTCATTATGGCTCGATGCGATCGACAATCCCACGACCAAGGAGAAAGAAAAAAAGAATAACAATAATAATCAGAGAGGAAAGAAAACCCGAAACCAGTGCCCAGGCTTAGAGAATGCGCATCACTGACAAGCGGGACGCACGAGATGAGTTCGGGTGGGTTGAAAAGAGGTCTGAGGTGTCCACCCCATGCAGACAAAGATCAGGATAGACAATCGGTCGACAGGTACAGCGCTGTGGAGGACGTGCGATTGGGAGGGCGAGGAAGCGAGGAGGTTGGGGGACGTGATGGAGGCCCACGACGTTGGAGCGCGGTGAAGTCGGAAATCGGTAGTTTGAGACGCAAGGGGAGAATCAGCGGCGTCTCCGAGAGACCGTCGAGCCGTGAGGAGAGGACAGATGGAGGGGAGAGACGAAAGAAAGAGGAGAAGAGAGGAGAGTAGAAGAGAGGGGTGTGATGAAAGTGATGAGTGTGACGAGTCAACGGTCGATCCTGGGAAAAGCCAAGACAGGGGGAGAGTCAGTGCCCACCTGGTTCCCGATCTTGTCCTTTGATTTGATCTGGATTTGACTTTGTTCTGGCTATTTCGTTTCCATTTTCTCTTTCTGGTAGTCGCCGTAGCAATGACCGGGAGGAATGCAGGGTGGCCAGGCGATTGGCACCGTTGCATATCTGGTGCATACCTGAGTTCTATCGCCAAATGGTCGAGATGGAGGTATAGAATAAAGACCTGGGATCTGGACGATCCAGGCACACAATCCCCACTCCAACGAGACTAAGAACGAGACTAAAGCAGGGACCAGAAACCAATCGGAAAAGCCAACGACTGGGCTGTTTCATCCGAAGCCAATAAAGATTTACCAACCGTTGGACAACGAGTTACGTTGGTTGATTTCCAGGTACCTTGGGTTCAGTGATTGAGTTGCTCATATCAGCCAGGGGTCAGACTTGGGATTATCAGGTCCCATGACTAGTATAGATGGAGATATCCTCAATAAATTGAAAGAGATACCCACTTTTGATTCGCCTAGAAGAATAACGCTGGGGCCCCATCGTTCATCGGGTGGATGTCGATCATTGTAGTTGAATTACACATTTAAAATGATATTGCAGTACGATATATAACCCCCCTGACGACTTCTGTTTCTCATTAATTGTTCATACCATACTCAATACAATTTCATATAACATTTACCAGGAGGGAATAATATATCATCGATCCAGTCGAGCAGCAATTATTCTAGATATATATAGTACTGCTCAATACTAAGGTAGTCACTAATATATACATACTCATTGATAACTCCAAAAACAACCCTAACTCCATCATATATCGTTCATAACAAACTTCCCTCACATATACTCACAGATCACCCAACCAAGCAATCAAAGGATCAGGGCCTCTTTTTTGCCTCCCCTGCCCAAACCCGCACTTCCTTAGCTCCTTCATGAGCAACTCGGAATACTACCGAGAACAACGAATCAGTCATACCATAAAACAAGAAAGGAAAGAAAGAAGAAAGAAGAAAGAAGAAACATACACTGCCTCTCCATCTCATCCAGTCCGCGCAAGAAGTCCACCCCCTGCCCCATCGCACCCTTGGGATTATGCGCATGGTCTGCGATCTCTGCAGCGCGTTTCGCGAATGTCTATTGACAGTTAGTAGCTATACATCTTATCCATCTATCCACCCATCTATAGGTAGATAAGTAGATAGACAGACAGATAGATAGATAAGTAGATAGTGGAAATATACATTCAACAAAACATCCACCATCTCCTCCTCCTCAAACAACTCCAGCACCCGCTCACTGAGACTGTAAAAGTGTGGCGCCAGCGAGCGCAGGTCGATCGTTCGGGGGTCGGCCTTGAGCGCATTCAGCACGCGCTCTGATAGAGCGGATGGGATGTCGAGTGTGACGAGACGGGACGTGCCCAGGCGGGCTCTGTAGTCAGATTAGTATTCTCTTTCTTTCTTCATTTCTTCTCTTCTCTTATCGCCTTTTGTAGTCTGGTAGTTCCGATAGTCCCGAAAGAATGACATACCCAATCGACAGCATTTCACCAAGCCATAATGGGAGGTCGAGTTGCGTTCCCGCTTTGATCTGTTATAATTAGTACTTCTTCTATATACATACCTATATTTGAGGAAAGTAAGAAAGGATAAAACACACGTTTTCACCCGGATTCCCCTCCAACACGCCCAACCCGGGTACTTCCAGCTCAAACGTGCAGGGCAGTTTCTACCCCGACACCATTAGCCTACACCCTCAACTGATCCCAACGAAAGGAGAAAAATAGGTCATACCTCCGAGTCAGTCAATATTGAGTCCACGTCGTAGTACGACATGACGAAGATATCTCACACCGTTGATCTGTTCGGCGCGTGGAATTGAAGCTGCTGGTCTGGACGTGTCTGCGCGTTGGTTTCTGTGCTGTGGGGTTGGGGATGACTCAGCGGGGGGGTTATCTTATCGGGTGTCTTATCGGGGTTGGTTTGGCTGATACTGTTTTTTTATCTTATCGGGATCGGGTTGGGTTGATCTCTTCATCTGTTGCCGGTGGTGGATGGAGGTAGTATAGGGTGCTGTACTAATAAATTCTGGAGTCTTATTCTAAAGTGATTATAACAGTACGATGGGCACCATGGCAAGGGTCGATCTAGGTATCTAGGTATTCGTATAGATGGGAATATAAGTAGACGGTAGGAATACTCACGGCCACCGCAGAAAGCGCCGTGGCTTGAGCGTGATTATATTGTTACTAGTATAAAGCTGGTATTCGATATGATTGACGACCTGAATCCCTACCGCAGTTCCCTCAGACAGATCTGGCCCGCTTCCACACGGTCATCCCCGGTCCAATACTCATCCTCCCTACCAGAAAAAGATAACAAAACGATCAAAGCTTAGCACCCTCCTCCCTCGCCTCCTTCTTCGCCTGATCACGCAATTCCCGTCGCAGGATCTTCCCGCTGGGACTCTTCGGAATGGCAGGCACGTAGACCACCCCGCCGCGCAGCTGCTTGTAGTGAGCCAAGTGGGATTTCACAAATTCCTTGATGGTGGCTTCGCTGGCTTGGGCTGGGTCCGCCACGACGTATGCCCGGGGTACTTCGTTGCCGGAGCCGTCTGGGGTGGGGACTCCGATGACGGCGACGTCCATAATGGCTGGGTGGGAGAGGAGGAGTGCTTCGAGCTCGGCGGGGGCGACTTGGAGGCCTTTGTATTTGATGAGTTCCTGTGTGTTGTTAGTGTATCTAATGAGGGAAGATGAAGAGTGAGAGGGCAGCTATAAAAGCGAGAGAGAGAGAGAGAGAGAGAGAGAGAGAGAGAGAGAGAGAGAGAGAGTGAGTGAGACATCACACTACGAAGCGAAACAGGGAGGAAAATGAGAGAAATACCTTCTTTCGGTCAACAATATAAAACAACCCGTTCTTCCGCACGCCGAGGTCCCCCGACTTGAACCAGCCATCCGGCGTGTACGCCTCCCGGGTGGCCTCCGGGTTGTCGTAGTAGCCCTTGGCGATGACCGGTCCCTGGACGAGAAACTCCCCCTCCTGGCCCTCGGCGACGTCGTGGCCCTCCTCGTCGACGATGCGGAGTCGCATGTTGGGCAGCAGCCGGCTCACGCTGCCCGTCAACTCCTCCTCTTCCCACGGCATGCCCGTGATGCTGCCGGTGGTCTCGCTCAGTCCCCAGGTCTGGTTGACGAAGCAGCCCAGCTTCTGCTGGACCTTTACCTGCAGGTCGGAGCCCATGGGCGCGGCGCCCGAGTAGGCGCGGCGCAGGGTCCGGAACTGGTCTGTGACGGCGGGGCTGTGGCTGATGAGGAGGAAGATGGGCGGCACGGAGAAGAAGAAGGTGATCTCCAGTTTCTTGTTGTACTCGAGGAATTTGGCGAAGTCGAACCGGTCCATCCAGTAGACGGTGCCGCCAACCACGCTCGGATTGATGAAGTAGCCCTGTGTGCCGGCGATGTGAGCCGTGGGCAGGTGCGCCAGCGTGCGGTAGGGGTGCTCGTAGTTCGGGTCCTGGGCCGTCCGCTGGGCGACGTACTCGCGGTCCATGAGGAAGGGGATGAGCGCCTCCGCGACGACGTTCCGGTGGGAGATGTTGACCCCCTTGGGCACGCCCGTCGTGCCGCTGCTGTACAGTAGGCAGATGAGGGAGTCGTCCAACCGCGGGGGGTCCGTGATGCGCTCCCAGTCCAGCGCCTGCGATGGCGTCAGGCCGTGGAGGTAGTTGTGGCCCGTCCGACTGTCGGCCAGCACCCGCTCGTGATTCATGCTCCGGAGCACCAGAACGCGATCGGCGGGCACGCCCGCCGCCTGCGCCGCCTGGAGGGCCAGGTCCCGGGTCTCGGGGCCCGTGATGACGAGCCGGCTTTTCCCCTGGCGGATCTGGCGCTCGAGCTCGGTGGGCGTCGCGGTGTAGGACGCGGCGCTCCAGACGCCCCCGGCCGCCACTACGCCGTAGAAGACGGCGGGCAGGAGAACCTGCCCGGTGGAGACCCCGACCACGACATCTTTACCGGCGCCCTGGCCACCGACCCCGAAGTGGTGGCGGAGGAGGTAGGCGATCTGACGGGTGTACTGGCGGGCCTGGGCTTTGGTGATGCCATTGGAGGGATCGGCGGCCTCTGCATGCAGGACGGTGGTCTCCTTGCTGCCGGGGAGGGGCGAATCTGATCGGGCATGGATCTCAGTTTCTCCGCCGGTGGACTCCCAGACTGCGCCGCGGAACGGAAGGGACGAGAGGACTCACCGAAGATTAAGCTTAACAAATCGAGATCAGGGAGATCATAGTCTTTCTCCGGAAGGTAGATCATGGTGTGGGAAGGGGAGGTTTACGGAGAATTGGGAGATCGGGCCGCGACAGTCTTGTAGGTAGAAGGAGAACCCCCCCCAGGAGACGGCGTCAGACCGCTTTATAGGAGAATTATTCTTCGTTGGACAACACATGTTTCCGGCGGGAAGCCATGCACACGAAGCCACGGCTACAGGGTCGATACATCTCACCCGACCCAAGCGAGGAGAGGGTGTTCTGCAGCCGTGAGCAACAGAGCCCGAGGTCCGTCGGCAGGAGATCGGCGGATATTGATGAGGATCGCGGAGATGCGGGGTCGGTTGACATTTGCCCTCACATCTCACGAGAGGGGTGACCGGATGGATGTCATTGGCTTTGATCATTGTCATGGTTTGACTTCCGATGAATGTCACACATGGCAGGATTCGTCTTCCAATGTATCCAGAGGGAGAGCGTGAACTGACGCGCCATCCCTGCGGGCGATGCGGTGTGGCCTTTCAGAGTGGAGTCCCGCTGCAGTGTGGCAGGGAGATGACACGCTTCCTGCCGTTCATGAGAGTTTAAATAAATTGACCAGCCTAGATCATTGGAGATAGTATATATTTATATATGGGGAGGGGATCACGAACCTTGAGGCATCCGTCATGGTGTATATTCCCTAAGTATTCCCCCCGGTCTGCTCTCCAGATGGTTCGAGGGTCTAGAACGGGGCAGAACGGCAAGATGTGCAGCGCTAAATTGGAAATTGTTCCGGGACAGACTCCACTGGGGATTCTCAGATTCTTTCGAGATACTATGAGATACTGTCGAGTCGATCGATCGTAATAGAGTGGATGAACCAACAATGCGATACGGATCTATCCGTACCAGACCAATCCACCTTCCATGTAGATCGAATCAAACGAACGAGGAGAGAAACGGACACGCGATGCAAGAGGAAAAGAGAAAGAGAGACAATACCCTGTTTTTGGCCACGCTAACCCGGGAAGAGGATAGGATGGTGGAGGGGAAGGAATCCTTTGGCCAAGTTTTGTTTAAACCAATGGATTAAAATAACTTGGATATGACTTGGCCACAAGTTGGTCCGCCGTATGATCTGAACATATAGAGATTGAATCAATCCAAGTAAACATGGAAATGATTTCCAGAATTCAACAGTTTAAGAAAGATAGAAAGAAAAGTAAAATTCAATCAATAAAACAGGTCCCTGGAAACCTCAGGACCACAACATAACGCGATCATAAACCATCATAATATTTATGGACGTGTGACATCTGCTTCTCCCGCTTGACTCTTTCTCTCTCTTTCTCTTCTTCTTCTTCTTCTCTCTCTTCTTTCTTTCTTTCTTTCTCTCCTCCATCCTTCTCTTCTCTTCCTCTCTCTCCCCTGATTGAAGATCCTCCCCTCTTCTCTCCCTTCTCCCTTCCTTTCTCTTTCCTTCCTTTCCTTTCTTCTCCTTGTTGTTTGTCCCTCACGCTCGTTCTTTTTCTCCCTTTCTTTTCTCGACCCATTCTGCATGACTCCAGAAATAGCCGTGAAGGCTTTCGTTCCTCCATCGCATCAGTCCCATCATGACCTACAACGCCCTCTCGCAATCCGACCAACATGAGGTTACCTCCAACACGAGCGACCAGGACAATCGAGGAGGAGATCGGTTGGACGCACGGGAGCCCATTCGCAGCCTTGGGTCGATGATTCGTTCCATGACCGCCATGAGCTACGAGACCGTCGAGGACGACGACTACGAGGAGATCGCCGCCGATCATGCCGCTACCCGGAAGTCCATCGATCCGCCCACCACGACTAGCGATGGATTCCCTCGTCCACTGCCTCCTCCGATCAACACGGCCGCCGCCGCCGCCACTCGCTCCGACTCCACCGAGGAACCCGCCCTGCGGACGCCCATCTCCGATGTCCCCGTGCCCCTGAGCCACCCGACCCCCGACCTGCAGTCCCTCCAGGGCGCCTATGTCACCAATGTCGAGCGACTGGAGCAGAGCGCCGAACGCATGAGCTGCAGCTCCGCCGATATTGGCCGTGAGATCCGCAAGATGGACCAGGCCCAGAAGCGACGCTCCTCCGGGTCCACCTCCCACCCCGTGGGGAGCCTGGACGGCTCGCCCCGCCGCACCCATGCCCGCTCTCGCCAGACCTCCATCCAGTCCGCCGCGCGCCTCGCCCAGGTGTGTGAGAATGGCCCCGGCGACCGCCGCTCCGGCCCCGTGCCGGCTCCTCTCCTGCCCCTGCCCCCGGCCCTCGCCCAGCCCATCGGTTTCGACCCGCTCCTCCCCCTCGACAACCCCTACGACCTCGATCGCCCCGTCTCGGCCGCGTCCAACGACACCTACCAGCAAGCGCGCGTCTTGTTCACCGATTTTGATGGCGTCCACTACCATCCGGACCGCGCCGACGCCCGGGGGCCCCGCGTGTCCTTGACCCGCCCGCCCCTGGCCGCGCGGCCCGAGTCGTTCCAGGAGCCCCCGCCCGGCGAGCGCATGGTCTACTACCCGGCACCCGTCCCGATGATGCTCAACCTGCCCCCGCGCCTGTCCCAGCGGCCAATTGCGGAGCGGGAGAAGCGGAGGACCCAGCTCCTCGGCACCGTCGCGGCGGCCGACCGCCAATCGACCGCGGGGCGGCGACTGGGTCCAGACGCGGGGGAGGACCCGCCGCGCGAGAAAGCCGCGACCGAGGTTGCCCCCCACCTGCGTGCCAGTGTCTTCTTCGACCCCCCCGGCGCGCCGGCCCTGGACGTGGACGTCAAGAAAGAGTCCGCCGTCGCGACGCTGGAGAGCATTCTCGACGCCTCCACCCGGGCCCCGGTCAGCGCCTTCACCGATCACCCGTTTGCCGGCCATCTCGGCCCGGAGGTGTACGGCAGCGCGCGCCCCCGGGCGACGGCGCCCCCGACCGGGCTGCGTCCGACTCGGACCTGCACTCGGTGTCCCTCACGGGCACCGGCGAACACGGGCCAAGCGAGGCGGAGGCCACCCGTGCCCACGAGGGCACGGCCCTGCGCGACGAGTCGCCGGGGGCGCCCGACGGCGCAGATGCCCCCCCGGCGCCGGCCGACGCGGCTGACAGCGGGGACGACGTGCCCTTCACCGGACCCCCAACCACCCTATTGGCCGAGCTGGAGATGCGGAAGCACGAGTTGAAGCAGCGGCGGCGGACGGCCGCCACCGCCGGGGGCCTGCATTCCACCTTGCTGCAGATGGACGCCGTTGCGCAGAAGCAGAGCGAGCACCGGCGTGCGCGCCCCGTGGCCCTGGCGTGGGAGAGCCCCACCCTGCATCAGCAGGACGCGGGAGACGACGAGGACGTCCCGCTGGCCATGCTGTTCCCCGAACAGGCCCAGCCGCCCGAGGACGGGCGGGCTCTCGGCCTCATGGCGCGGCGGGCGATGGAGGAGTCGGAGCCTCTGAGCCGGCGGCGCGCGCGACTCCGCGGGGACGGCTCCCCTGCGCCGGCGGCGCGGACCTCGGACCGACGGCCGGTGACCATGTACGCGCATGGACCGGCACCCGAGACGACCGCCGCGGCCAACCCGGATGCCGACGACGACGACAACGACGAGGACGAGGGCGAGACGCTCGGGGCGCGCCTCCAGCGATTGAAGGCGCACCACCGGCAGAGCACCGCGGGGCAGAGCGAGTTCGCCAGCGAGATCTTCGCGGAGTTCCGTCAACTGGGTGGGGCGGACGGCGACCCCGACGACGGGACGGGCGCCGGTGGTCCCCCGGAACCCGAGGACGAGACGTTGGCCCAGCGGCGGGCGCGTCTGCACCGGGAAGCCGCCGCGGAGCTCCCGAAGAACTCGACCCTGACGATCCCGCGATATCGGCGCAGCATGGCGGATCTCCTCCACGCCCGCCGTCCGACGACGGAGGGACGGCCCGCCGCCTCGGCGACCGGAGGTGCCCCCAGCGGTCTGGGTCATCAGCACACGCGGTCCCAGCTGTCGCTGCCGTTTACGGCGCCGCCCGGGGTAGTTCCGCCCGGGGTCGCTCCGCCGGGGGTCGTTCCGCCGGGCACGGCGTGCGCCCCGTATGTCCCGCCATCGGGCTATGGCATGGTACACCCAAATACCTTCTACACCGATGCCATCCTGGGGAAGCACCCGATGAGCTATGCGGTGCCCCGGCAGCCTGGCCCTCCAGGGGTTGGGCGGGCCGGCGGCCAGCGCGAGATGATTGACCGTTGGCGACAGAGCATCGCTTAATATCGATCTTGATTGGATTCTTTATCTCTTTTCTCTCTCTTATCTTCGTCTATCTCTCTCTCTTTTTCTTTTCTTTGAACTTTGTCTCTCCCGACCCCCCCTTTCTTTTTTCTTTTTTCTTTTTTATCTGTTATTGATCAATGTATTGGCATGTCGGAGCATCGGGTTGGTTCTGACGGTTGGAACGCATGCACGGGCTGTAGATTAGCGCTTGATTGTTCTTTTGGCATTCTGTCTTGTATTATAATATCTCTGATATCTCCATATTCTCATTGCCGGATTTCGGTTTGTTCGTGATTCGCCTTGCTGGATGGGCCACGTTTAATAATCTTCACAATACCAATGTCGAATTCCCAGAAATTCCCTTTTCTCCTGTCCAATTTTACCGAATTGGTGACCTGTCCGCCCAATGCGTAAAGACCAGGGACCGCCGTCGGGCTGTCTGCATCCATCCGTCGGGTCTTCCTCCCCGCCGCCACGCAGGAACTGGTTCAACCAACCATCCCCCCCAACTCCAACCCACACCCAACAACCAACAACTCCACCGCAAGCGACGATGGTTCCTGAAAGAAATCCCCAGACATTCTCTGGATCCGTCATATTGACCCTGGCGAATTCGACCCAACCAATGTCTTCCCGTGAGCTAAGGTAGTTGATCGACGGTGGAGAGGGGATGATTTTCCCGCTTTCGGACCCAAGAAAGATGGACCAAAGTCAGTGACTTCACCTCAAGCTTCTTTTTTTCTTCCTCCACCTTGTTTTCCACCCCTGACTCAACCAGACTTCGTCTTCTGTCTTGTTTTTGGATCCTTGGTCATCCATTCCCCTTTTGCTCTTGTCCTCTGTCCTCTTTTCTATTTCCAGTGCTTCTATTTTTATTTTTCTCCCCACTGCGCAGCTGGATTCAACGCTGTCCCCAAGCTGAGACATACCCCACGCCTCCAAGGATCCTTCGTCCCCTCTGGTTCTTCTACAGCTTGTCGATCGCTCGTCCATCCTCTCTCCATCACCTCCATCACAAGTCATGGGGGACTGTGGCACTCGTTGATCCGAGGTTTGTTTTCCCCACCGAGCCACGGTAGGTGAACTGGCGATGCCACCCTCCGCCGTCTTCTCGTACTGGCGGCGCGACCACCGCCGGTCCAGTGCGACCCCGAAACTGGCCCCCGCGCTGGCCCCGGTGCCGACCATCCAAAGCACCCCCGCCGATGTGCCCACGTCTGTGGGCAGCTCCCCGGCGCATCCAGAGGGCTCGAGCCCGCAGACGCCGGAATACTCCCCCGACGCGGACGGGGAGAAGCTGAACGTCACCGTGTCGACGGCGGCCATCCCGCCGCCGTCGTCCTCGTCCACCAATCTCGCCGTCCCGTCCGCCACGTCGGAGATTCGTCCCCATTCGAGCCCCGAAGAAGAACGCGCACGAGAGGTGCCGCTCACCGCCCAGTCCAACCACTCGCAACCGTCCTTCACCGTCCCACGTTCGACGGACCAGACCGATGCGGAGTCGTCCAAACCGAGCTCGCCCTTCCGGCTGTCCTTGGGGAAGAGTCTGCTGCATGCGCATCACCAACCCTCCGATTACCATTCCAAACGAGCGTCGACCCCCGCCATGACCCACACTAGCCACTTCCGCTTCAAACCCGCGCCGGACGATGCCACCATCGACAAAGCCAACGCGGGACACCGAGAGTACAAGAAGGACCGGGCGGATGGCGGGAACGGCGGCCGACGGCAGGGCGACCGCGAGGTCTCGGGGGACCACGCCTCGCACAAGTCGGGGAAGGCGATGCTGCATTTGTTGAACCCCATGTCGCTCCTGGCCCGGAGACGGTCCTCCCACCTGGCCCACCTGCGGACGGAGGACACCGCCGCGGTCCCGGCCATCCCGGACGACTACGATCCACGGATTCGGGGGAAGATCGTGCACGACTTCTCCGCCCGCGGCCCCGGCGGACGCGAACCACCGCCCCCACTCGATCCGGGGCGGGCTCCCGGGCTCCCTCGTCGCAGGACCAGGTGTCGGCCGCCCGATTGTCGGACCGCGACGCCCCGAACTACGCCCCTGAACAGGCGAGAAAACGGCAGAGTGAATACGCCCCCGTTTTCAAGGAGCATTTCGAGGACGACCGCCCGGTGTTGCAGGTGGAGAACAAGGCCTACCTGCAATCGTCACTGTTGACGAACCCGGCCGCGACCGACCAGGACGCCCAGGCAATCCCCGCATTTGCCAGAAAGCTTCCCGCACAGGTCCCCGCGGACGAACCCTCGTCGGACAAGCTCCCGTCGGACAAGGGGTCATCGGACAAGGGGTCATCGGACAAACCCCCATCGGACAATGCTCTGGGCGCGTCAAACGAAGACAGACCCCAGCAGCACGTGCGCGATGCGGACACCATCGACATCACCCCCCATCAACCACTGGGCGTGCCCAAACACTGCAAGAGCAATGCATCCCGGTTCAGCTTCGACATGGACGCCGTGGAATCCGAGACCCAGGAAAAGCTGCTGGAGGAGAAGCACAAGGCCAAGGAGGCAGCGCGGAAGGCCAAGGCGCGCATGGACGGCGACTTCAGCGACGCCGAGGACGACTATGACAACGATCTGTTCGACGACTTTGACGGCCTGGAGGAGAAGATTCCGGGAGTGAACGTGGACGACGAGGAGGATGGGTACGACGACTTTCCCGCCCCCGACGCGTTGGCGAACAAGTCCTGGCTCGCGCCGGGCTTGTCCCCGGTGGTGGCCAGCCCCATTAGTCCGGTCGGACCCGGCCTGCCGCCGGGGGCGTCTCTGTCGACCCATGATTTGGGTACCGTGCCGACCCCGCCATCGGAGCGGACCTCCGGTGTGACTGCCGCGGAGTGCCGCCCCGCCCGCCCCCAGATGTGCGAGACTCCACCGGACCACCGACGGAGGCACCGCAGATCCCAATCGGTCTCCCGCCGAGCAACCCACAGCCCCTGGTAGACGACGACGACGACATGTACTTTGACGACGGCGAGTTCGGTGATCTCACGGCGGACGTGGGTGGTGGGGAGACGTTTGACGAGTCCATCTTCGATGACGAGTCGAGCCATCTCTACAGCCGCAAAACGGCCGCCGCGCAGCCCCCCGTGGCGCCCGCCGAGGACCGGGACCCGGCACCGGCGCCGATGGAGATCCTCTCCGAGCTGGACGAATTGGCTCTGGACACCGAAGAACGTACCGACGGCCTGAAGCACATGCCGAGCATGGCGAGCGACTATCGGGGCCTGGGGTCGCGGCGCGTCGGCCGCGGCCCGCCGTCGCTGGATCCGGCCAAGGCGCAGGGCGGCGTGCTGTCCGAGCACAACCTCGAGGCGTTGCACCACGCGCTCGCCGCGGCGGCCAACCAGGCGACCCGCGACGGACCCCGGGGGCGCGCAGTCAGCGGCAGCGAGTTGTCCCTGGGCGCGGAGAGCCTCCCGGAGAGCCTCCCCCCAACGCTGGGGCACCCCCGGCCCTGGGGGCGGACGACGGGGCCTTTGAAGACCTGGACGCCTTTGAGGACCTGGACGACGACGATTTCGACGCGTCGCTCTACAACGACCCCATCATCGCGGCGGCCAACGCGGAGGCGCTGGAGAACGACGACGAGGGCTTCTACGGGCAGGAGTTTGGGTTCTACGCACACGCGCACGGGACGCAGACGACGCAGCTGACGAGCGGCGGGTACTTTGGCCCGCGCACCCTCGAGGGACTGACGCGGAGCTACAGCAGCCGCGGGACGTTCCGGGAACCGAGCCTGACGCCCATCACGGAGCGCAGCGAGTGGAGTACGCGCAACTCGGTGATCTCGCTGCCGCCGCACGGGGCGGGAGCGCATTCGACCCCGTCGCTGGCGAGCCCGGGGTTGGCACAGCTGGTGGATCTGGGGCCGCGCGAGGACGAGATGACGCTGAGCGCGCTGATGCGGTTGCGGCGTGGCGCCTGGGGCGGCAGCAACGGGAGCCTGCGGAGCAGCAGTGCCAGCCCGCCGCCGCACCCCCTACACGCACCGCACGCGCCGCACGCGCCGTCATCGCACCGAAACAGTTTCACGGGGCTGTCGGACGTCAGCCCGACCGTGCACAGCGTGCCGCCAGACCTCCCGTGGGGGTCCAGCAGCACGAGCGAGTCCCCGCGAAAGGACCCTGAGACGAGCGGCGGATCGTCTCCGCCGCGTCGCGTGGAGTCGTCGCCGATCCGGGGCGCATGACCTCTTTTCCCCTTCTATTTAACTTCTCTCCCTCTGCCTCCCCACCTTCCTTCTTCTCTATTGTTTTCCTGACATTGGTATTTAATTGGATCTATACCCGGCACCCTGATGTAACATGATCTCTGGGCGGCAGTTTCTTTTCCTCTTTACCGGTTGACCTTTTGCATCTATGTTTTTTCCTCTTTGTCCTCCTTTTCTCTGGCGTTTGTGAGATCTTATGACCGCTGTAATGTGTGATGCCCAACGGTGCCCTCTGATAGCCTAATCATCCGAAAGGTCTTCCCTTCGAGTCAATCATCGTCGATCCGCAACGATCCGGGCAAGGTCATACCCGGGCCGGGGATGTGGCGGTGTCTTTTTTCTTTCAGTACTGTAGCGTATTAAGTATGCGGCATTAAAGCGATGCCGGAAATGTCGGCCCGCATTTAGTCACGCAGGGCGGACGGGCTGAGTCAGCCACCCGCCTCAGCCACAGGCGTCATCGTATGGTACGGTACGGAACGGTGTAATACACAAGACACGGAGTGAAGTCAGCCTGAGGGAAGAAAAAAAGTCTCATAGCCGTCGATTTCGGCAAAGCTCTCTCTCTCTCTTTCTTTCTCCTTCTTCCCTGTCCAACTTCCTCCCCTTCTTCACTCTCTCCACCTTTTGTCCTCTCCTTTAGGACTTCATTTGTGACGTTCTTTGTCCTTTTCTTCTTATCTCCACTCTCCCATCCCCCCATTGTTAAGAGAGTTTTGATAACTCTCTGATGAGTCGCGTTTTGTTACAGGTGCTACGGCAATAATCGTCGACACCTGTCTTCGCTGGTTGTAACTGTATGTTCCCTTCACCCGGTGTTAGTCCCCATAGCTATCCTCCCTATGGAGCATGCTATATGTCTTGATATCTTGGTGTCTTGACTTCCCTTCTATCAGACTGACCCTTTCTTTGCAATATCCAGAGCTTAATCGATCGGTCTCGACTTCTTCTCGCTTATAGACATTCCCGGCTCCCTACCCGAGCTATCCGTCCACCACAACTCTCCCTATTCCGGTCCTTCATATCGTTCAGATTGCGCTCTCTTGCCATTGAGAGCCCCCGGAATTTTTCTTCGTCATGTTTCGTGTCACCGCGGTCAAAGCGACCAACAGCGGGATGATGCGTCCGGCCACCTGCGGCCGGCGATCCCTCGCTTCGATCGCTCGTCCGGCGGCTTCGTCCCGGTTCGCCCTGGCGGGCCGACGTCCGCTGGCCCTCGCCGATCGTCTGTCCCACGGGAGACGCTTCTATGCGGCTTCTGCGGAGGGTGTTGTGAGTTGTTATATAATATGTGGGCATTAATAGAAAGGATACTAATATTAATTCCCTAGGATGCCAATGACTCCTTCCTCTCCGGCAACACTGCCAACTACGTCGATGAGATGTATCTGGCCTGGCGCAAGGACCCCTCCTCCGTCCACATTTCGTGGCAGACCTACTTCAAGAACATGGAGGATGGCAACATGCCCGTCTCCCAGGCCTTCCAGCCGCCCCCCACCCTGGTCCCCACCCCCACCGGCGGTGTCCCCCAGAACATGCCCGGTGAAGGCCTCGCCGGCGTCGCCGAGGGCTCCGACGTCACCAACCACTTGAAGGTCCAGCTGCTGGTGCGTGCCTACCAGGCCCGCGGCCACCACAAGGCCAAGATCGACCCCCTGGGCATCCGCATCGAGGCCGAGGCCTTCGGCTACAGCCGCCCCAAGGAGCTCGAGCTCGACCACTACGGCTTCACTGAGCGCGACCTCGATGAGGAGTTCTCCCTGGGCCCCGGTATCCTGCCCCGCTTCGCCACCGACGGCCGCAAGAAGATGACCCTGCGCGAGATCATCGGCGCCTGCGAGAAGATCTACTGCGGCTCCTACGGTGTCGAGTATATCCATATCCCCGACCGCCGCCCCTGCGACTGGATCCGTGATCGCTTCGAGGTCCCCGAGCCCTACCACTATTCGGTCGACGAGAAGCGTCGCATCCTCGACCGTCTGATCTGGAGTCACAGCTTCGAGTCCTTCCTGGCCACCAAGTTCCCCAACGACAAGCGTTTCGGCCTGGAGGGCTGCGAGTCCCTCGTGCCCGGTATGAAGGCCCTCATCGACCGTAGCGTCGACTACGGCATCAAGGACATCGTCATCGGCATGCCCCACCGTGGTCGTCTCAACGTCCTCTCCAACGTCGTCCGCAAGCCCAATGAGTCCATCTTCAGCGAGTTCGCCGGCTCGACCGAGCCCTCCGACGAGGGCTCCGGTGACGTCAAGTACCATCTGGGCATGAACTTCGAGCGCCCCACCCCCTCGGGCAAGCGCGTCCAGCTCTCCCTCGTCGCCAACCCCTCCCATCTCGAGGCCGAGGACCCCGTCGTCCTGGGTAAGGCTCGCTCCATCCAGCACTACAACAACGACGAGAAGGACTTCAACACCGCCATGGGCGTCCTGCTCCACGGTGATGCCGCCTTCGCCGCCCAGGGTGTCGTCTACGAGACCATGGGCTTCCACTCCCTGCCCGCCTACTCCACCGGCGGCACCATCCACATCGTCGTCAACAACCAGATCGGTTTCACCACCGACCCGCGCTTCGCTCGCTCGACCCCCTACTGCTCCGACATCGCCAAGTCCATCGACGCCCCCGTCTTCCACGTCAACGGTGACGACGTCGAGGCCGTCAACTACGTCTGCCAGGTCGCCGCCGACTGGCGCGCCGAGTTCAAGCGCGACGTCGTCGTCGACATCGTCTGCTACCGGAAGCAGGGCCACAACGAGACTGACCAGCCCTCGTTCACCCAGCCGCTCATGTACAAGCGCATCGCCGAGCAGAAGGCGCAGCTCGACAAGTACGTCGAGAAGCTCATCACCGAGGGCACCTTCACCCAGGAGGACATCGACGAGCACAAGAAGTGGGTCTGGGGCATGCTGGGCGACAGCTTCGACCGCAGCAAGGACTACACCCCGACCAGCAAGGAGTGGCTGACCTCCGCCTGGAACGGTTTCTCGACCCCCAAGGAGCTGGCCACCGAGGTCCTGCCCCACCTGCCCACCTCCGTCGACCAGCCCTTGCTCCAGCACGTTGCCGGCGTCATCAGCGACGCTCCTGAGGGCTTCACCCTGCACCGCAACCTTAAGCGTATCCTGACCAACCGCCGCAAGGTCGTCGACACCGGCTCGGGCATCGACTGGTCCACCGCCGAGGCCCTGGCCTTTGGATCGCTGGTCGCCGAGGGCTACCACGTTCGTGTGTCCGGTCAGGACGTCGAGCGCGGTACCTTCTCCCAGCGTCACGCTGTCCTGCACGACCAGGAGACCGAGAACACCTACACCCCTCTGCAGCATGTCAAGGACGGTCAGGGCAGCTTCGTCATCTCGAACTCGTCCCTGAGTGAATTCGGAACGTATGTTTGTTCCTTTTTCTTTTTCTTTTTCTCTTTGTAGCAAGGCAATTAAACTAACTGTTCCAGTCTCGGCTTCGAATACGGTTATTCCCTGACCTCGCCCAACGCGCTGGTCATGTGGGAGGCCCAGTTCGGTGACTTTGCCAACAACGCGCAGTGTATCATCGATCAGTTCATCGCCTCCGGCGAGTCCAAGTGGTTCCAGCGCTCCGGTTTGGTGGTGTCGCTGCCGCACGGGTACGATGGGCAGGGCCCCGAGCACTCGTCCGGTCGTATGGAGCGGTGGTTGCAGCTCTGCAACGAGGAGCCCCGCATTTTCCCGCAGGGTGATAAGCTGGAGCGTCAGCACCAGGACTGCAACATGCAGATCGCCGTCATGACGACCCCGGCTAACCTGTTCCACATCCTGCGTCGCCAGATCCACCGCCAGTTCCGCAAGCGTGAGTCTTCTTTTTTCCGGTGCAATAATTGTTTGAAACTAACTCTTAACAGCCCTGGTGATCTTCTTCTCCAAGGCGCTCCTGCGTCACCCCCTGGCGCGCTCGGATATTGAGGCGTTCAGCGGAGAGTCCCACTTCCAGTGGATCATCCCCGAACACGCCCACGGCACCGCCATCGACGAGCCTGAGAAGATCGAGCGTGTGATCATGTGCTCGGGCCAGGTGTACGCGGCGCTGACCAAGCACCGTGAGGCCAACGGCATCCGCAACACGGCCATCACTCGCGTCGAGCAGCTGCACCCCTTCCCGTGGTCGCAGCTGAAGGAGAACCTCGACAGCTACCCCAACGCCAAGGATATCGTCTGGGCCCAGGAGGAGCCGCTCAACGCGGGTGCCTGGAGCTACGCCCAGCCGCGCATCGAGACCCTGCTGAACCAGACCGAGCACCACAACCGCCGCCACGTCCTGTACGCCGGCCGTGCGCCCAGCCCGTCGGTGGCCACCGGTCTGAAGTCGGTGCACTTGAAGGAGGAGCAGGAGCTGCTGGAGGCCGCGTTCAGCGTGCACCAGGACCGCCTGAAGGGCGAATAAATCACCCACTACCCACTACCCCACTACACTATACACCACACCAATCGCAACGGACGGGAGTTGGACTGGCAGAGGACTACTGACTACTTTGTACGAGTGCGGCATCGTTTTCTTTTGTTTATAAGGGGCACAGGTTCTTGGATGGCTTGTCTATACCTTGCACACGTGTCTGGATCATGTAAATTAAGAACCTGGATATATGGTTTCGTAGTATTTTTACAGTTCTCTTAGTATGTTACAGTTTTAAATATCCACTCGTATCTTAGGCGGTTTTCAAGAATACTCGAATATTCACTCGATATATATGCATGACGCCATAGAGCTCTATGCTGAGTCAGCAATAAATGCCAGCTAAATCAGGCCGCTACCACCTGATTCGGCCCGAAGGGAGTCTTGTCCGTCAGTCAGTCATTTCTCCGCACTTCAGCCTCACATTTTCTCCCATCAATCTCATCTCACCAATCTCCCCCAACCCAACCATCACACATGATTTCCCATCACATATGACCCCAATCTCTTTTCCTTCCATCAAAACCAATCTAAATCCCGATTGAGAGTCACCACTCAAAATGTCAGCCCTCACCACCCACGCCGCCATACCCCCATCAACCACATCAACCACAACCGCCCCCTCAACAACCACCACCGCAAACAACAATAACAAATCCCGCCAAACACGCACCAACCCCTCGCGCACCTCCAAAACCCAAACCCGCACCTCCTTCGCCTACGGCCGGCACGCGGACAACGCATCTCCCCCCGAGACGTCGTCCGCTCCGCATGGGTTCTATCCCGCGCTGACGCACTTCTCGGATGCGGTGACGGCGCTGCCGAGGGAGTTTAGGAGGCATCATTCGTTGTTGAAGGAGGTTGATGCGAAGGCTTGGGCGCTGGAGGAGAATTTGGTGAGGTTGTTGACGGAGTCGGTTTCGGGGTCGGGGGCGGTGTCTGGGGGGAGTTTGGAGAGGGCGCCGATTATTGGGGGCGTTGTTAGGGAGGAGTTTTTGAATACTGTGAGTTATTACTTTTTTTTTCTTTTCCTTCTTTGCTTGTGTTTTGGGTTGGTTTGGAGGGTGGATGGAGAGAGGATGGAAAAGTGAATGATGAAAAGAGGTGAAAAATTAGATGGGGGGAAAGATGAGGAAAAGATGAAAAAAGAAGAGAGAGAGAGAAATGATGAAGAAAGGGAAAGATGAAGGCTAACTCTACAGAATAACCCCCCCGAACCAGAAGAAAGCAAAAATCGTCGCCTCCTCTTCGATCGTGTCCGAACGACCCTCTCCGACCTGATGATGACCGCCGATGAGAAAAATCACGTCGTGTCCAACGCCAACGACGAGCTCGATCGCCAGCTGCTCCGTCTGGATACCATATACCCATATATTGCGGGCGAGATCAGTGAAGAGGCTCGTATGGGCAGTGTCACCCATTGGGCGTACTCCAACCGCAACACGGCCAAGCCACCGGCCAACGAGCGTCCGCGCCGGGAGGCCGCGTCCAACAAGGATCTGGCGCACGCTCTGCACGAGGCCGAGGCGGCGTCCCGGAGTGAAGCCCGACGCGAGGCCGTCCTCGCCCGTCGCCAGCGTCGCACACACGTAGATTCGGATATGGATGATACTCGCGGCCGCAAGGGACAAGGTAGCAAGTCGCGGGCCGGAGAAGCTGGCCACGGCGCCCAGACCAAGCGGCGTAAGGTCGAGCGGCCGGCGCCTGTCGACGGGGCTGCCATGGAGCGGACGACCAGTGGTACGGGTGCTTCTGGGCGAGGGGTGTCCAAGGACGGAGCGGAGGTGAAGAAACGGGCGCGCGCGCCGAACTCGACCGCTGCGCGGAAGCGGTATGTCATTACAGTCAGGGTGTTTGATTGGCGCTAACGTTGGTAGGAATAATACCGGGGTCTCTGTGGCTGATACGCCTGTCCTCGCGCCGTCCCCTCTGGTTGGGGCTGCTGTTCCCCGCACTCAGAGCCCTGGGGTTGCTCGACCGCAGTCGTCTCGCGCGCAGCAGGGGGCCGCAACGAATGGGCGGAGACCGGCCTCGTCCGCGTCTAACAGGACCACCAGTCACAGTATGATCTATCCACCACCCGGGTCTAACATAGCTAACGTCCAACAGACAAGACCGAACCCAAGCCTCCGAAAGAGACGCCCAAGATGGAGATCGCACCCACGCAACCGGATCCCCACCGCAAGGAAGACCCCCCGGAGACATCGAAGAACCCCATGCCAATAAGCACCAAGCGCGAAGACGAGAGCAAGCCAGCGGAGTCAATCGAACCGCGCGACACGCCCGTCCCAACAACATCGCACCCAGCGCCCAAAGGACGATCCTCCAAGACCTCCACACCGGTGACCACATTCTCCGACGCACACCAGCAACAGCTCCAGCACCAACAACAGCAGCACCACCTCCAACTCCAGATGCAGCACCAACAGCACACCCACCAGCAGCATCAGCAGCGCGTGCGCCCAACCCGCAACACGGACCCGGCCCCCGCCAAACGATCGCACAAGAAAAACGGCAGCATACCAGCAGCGGTGGTGGCGCGGGCGCCGTCGGAAGAAGAAGAGTCTTCCCTGCACGAGGGCGAAGGCGACGACGAAGACGACGACGGCGAGCCGCGGTACTGCTACTGCAATGAGATCAGTTTCGGCGAGATGGTTGCGTGCGATAATGACGCTTGTCCACGGGAGTGGTTCCATTTGTCTTGTGTGGGGTTGAGCAAGCCTCCTGGGAAGAATGGTACGTCTTTTTCTCCTTTTTTCGTTATATTATGTGTTATTCAGATCGATCGTGCTAACTGGTGCAGTGAAATGGTATTGCAATGAATGCAAGGATAGTATGCGACGGAGCAGGAGTGGGCGGTGATACTACTAGATTGAGGATATGATAGACATGCAGTGGAATCAATTTATGTCAGAGTCAGGTTAAGGTAGATAATGCTACTTACTACATACATACTCCATCCAACTCCAGTAATCCAGCAGCACCAAACCAGCAATACTCCATAAAACACAACCATACCATTCGATCAATCAGCTAATCAATCTCTCCTCCTCTGCCTCCCCTCTCCACTCCCACTCCCAGAAGCAGCCGCAACAGCAGAAGCCTCCCCCTCCAACCTCCTCCTCAACCCCTCATACCTCCCACCGTCCCCCTCCCCCCCAGACCTCATATCCGCAAACCCAGACCCAACCCCAGACCTAGAGACAGAATCCCTCTCACCCACAACCCAAGCCGGAACCCTCCTCCCAGAAGACCCCGAGCCCAAAAAAGGCAACACCTCTGCGCGCCACGCAAACCCCACCCCCCAGCCTATCAGCGCGGGGAGGAACATCGCCGGGAACTGCGAGAGGGCGAGTTGGGCCGCGACGAGGTAGACGGGGGATTTGTCTGTTAGGAGGATTCCGGTTGCTTTTTCTGTTTCTTGTTGTTGTTGTTGTTGTTGTTGTTGGGGTTGGTCTTCGGGGGGGTTTGTCGAGGAGGCAGTAGAGGGAGTGGAGGGAGATGATGATGATGATGAAGAGGAGGTGGATATGCGATAAGAAACCGTATGCGGAACCTCCACGTAATACTGCACGAGCAGGGCGAATATCGTTGCCGTCGGGCCCGAGGGGAGATAGTTGAGCTTGTGCAGCGTGAGAGGGCAGAGGATGGTGGTGAGTAGTAGCGGCGGGAGAAGAGTCGTGTAGGGCAGTGTCGAGAGGATGAATGTCTATACACCATACATCATAATCATTAGCATCCTCTTCCATACCATATATATCATATCCACATATAAACAACGCAAGTAAAGGAGGGAAAAGAAGGGAAAAAACTCACAGCAACCTTCCGCCCCCCCCACCCCCTCTCCACAACCCTCAAATGATAAACCAGCAGCGCAGCGAACAGCGCCTCCGTGGAGTTCGCAAACCCGGCTACTTGCCAGATCAGCGCGCGCCAGAACTGCCCGTACGGCCAGAAGTGCGGCGCGATGTGGATGCTGGCGAGGTGTTTGCTGTCGAGGATGGAGAGGAGGGCGGAGGAGGCGATTGTGTAGATTAGGAGGGTGCGGGTGAGGGGTGTGTGTGTTAGGTTTGGGGCGAGCATTTTCTACTCTCTATCTCTCTCTCGCTCTCTTTATTTATTTGTTTATTCCCGCTTGTTTGTGTTCTTTTGTATGCTGGGTGGTGGGGGGGGGGGAGTGGTGGTTGGATTGGATTGGTATGGTGGATGCCCGGGTTTGGGGGGGTGCGTTTCGTGGAGAGTGGTTGCTGTCTGTCGAGGGGCGCTGGAGAGGTTCGTTGGAAGTGGGACAGGACAATGTCCCTTGGCTGGCAATGGTTGTTCTTCGATGTGAAATAGACCACTTAAGATGAGTATGTTGGTTGCTATTAAGATATTGTGTCTCGGAGGTGCGGAGTTTAACACGTCGCATTACTCCGCACCGCACCGCATATAACACGCCTCCCGCTATCAATCAATCAAGCAACCGAGTCACCGCGGCATGCCGAGTCGATCTCCCCATTACATCATGTTACTACTACTACCATAGAGTCTACAATGGAAAGTAGAAAATAAGCGTACAAGGGGGAAAATTATTTAATATCCTCCACCATCTTCATCTCCTCCGCCAACGCCTTCTTATACTTCCCCAACGCAACCTCCAACGCCCGCACCGTCGGCCCCAGTAACTGCCTAACAGCACCAGCACCCCCCGGCACGCCCTCCAGATTCACCCGCCGGCGCCGCCCCGTCGCCTCGAGCATCTCCCTTGCCTGCCGCTTGAGCTTGTCAACCTCTACCTGGCGCTCCGCCTCGGCGTCGTTGGCGACCGCCGAGATGCGCTCTTGGGCGCGGTTCAGCGACTCAACCAGCGAGGCGACTTCTCCAGCGCGGTCGGGGTTTCCGGAGAGAAAGGCCTGCCAGAATTGGTGGAGGAATTCGGTGGATGTAGCGTGTGTGAGGGTCAATCGGTCGTAGAGCGCCGTGGACAGGCCGTAGGTTTCTGTCGTGCTGGCTATCTCTGTTTGGGCGCGTCGCTCGCGGATCGCGGTGAGGATTTGCGCTGACGCGCGCTGGAGGCTCGCGCGGGAACCGACTTGGGGTGGGGCTTGTGTTGTGTCTTCGTCGTCGTCGTTGTCGGGCTCGACGAGCTTGCCTAGTGGGGCGGTGCCGTCGGATGGGAGGTGGTATTCTACTTCGATGCGGAGATCGTTGAGGATCTTTTCTGGGTCTTGTTGTGAGAAGAGCCGGCTTTGGGCGTCTGCGCTGTCGTTGGTCTGTGAGGAGAAGAACCGGCTTTGATCTTGGATGTTGAGCCGGATCCGGTCTTGCGGTTCGTCGCCTCGGAGGTCCCGTAGTTGTAGTTCGTTGTATGTCTCTTCGTCTATGCCGCGCGGCGCGTGCGGGTCGCCGTCTGCGGGCGCTACGTTGGCCATGATCTTCTCGCTGAGCGCGTTGAGAGACCGGATGATGGGGACTTTTTCCACCGTCGACGGCCGCATGTCGATATCTGGGCGGTTTCCGCGTCGCTGGCTGTTATCCTGGTCGTTGGCGCCCAGGTCCAGGAAATGAGGCACGTGCATCTCGCGCGGGAGATTCCCCGATTCATCCGCCTTGAGGTACTTGTCCAACACGGTATCGGTCGCGTCCGTTTCGGAAATGCGCTCCCCGCGCAGCTTCTTGAACAGCCGGCTCTGGAAGAAGCGCGACCAGAACTGTTGCTCGCTCAGCTTGGGCACGGTCTCGTCGTACACGCGCTTCACCAGCGGGTGCTGATTGAAGATCAGCTGGATCTGCTCCTTGCTGATATTCAGCTTCGTCACGTTATCCTCCACCCGTGGTTTCAGCGTGGACAGCACGTTGTACGACCCCCGCGTCTGCGCCCGCTCGATGGCATGCGCCCGCAGGAGATGCAGCCGTGCGGACCAAAACTGCGACATGAACTGACCCGCCGTCAGGCTATCCGGCTTGGTCTTGAGCAGCTCTGTGAACATGCGCTGCAGGGTCGGGTCCGCCCGGAGCAGCGACTGCTGCAGCTCCACGTCCCACTTTAACCGCTTGTCGTCGTCCCACGGGTGCGGCCCCGCGCCTGTCTGCGTCGCAGTTACCGCGACCGTCGGTGTTGAGGCGGGCTCCCCGTTTCCGGGTCCTGGTGTGGGTGTCGCGACTGGTGTCATCTGGGTGGACTTGGCGGCTTGGATTGCCGCGCTCAGCGCATCTTTAATGGCGTCGGCTTCCGGACGGGCATTGTCGCCGGCTGTGAACGAGAAGACGTATTGTTCGGGGGCGTTGGGCGCGTTGACGGGGACGACGAATATCTTGAGCATGACTTTTTGGCTACTCGCGGGGGTTTGCTGCAAGTCTATTCCAAATCGTCAGTCAGCCGTCGAAGAAAGAATGGAAAGATAGGCAAATGGGAAAACACGCACTAGTTATCTGAGAAATCGGCAGCGTGATAGCTCCCGCTCCCCCAGCCACCGGTGTCCATGAAATGGACTGGCTGTCCTGGGCCATAGTCAGGGTGCCATCTTTCTTCTTGTACGCCGCCGATCCGCTCGGAGGTGCCATCCTAACTCAACCGCGTCCACTGTCGTGAGCGGCGTATGGGGATCTACCCATCGGGAGACAGACAAGCCCAACGAGAGTCCGGAAGGCGGGACGTGTGTCGAAGCCTTCAATAGGGTCGTGGATTGGTGAGAGCGAAAGGTATCAGAAAGAAACGAGACGCGGTGGAGCAAATCGATGAGGCAACGGATGTGACACGTGACCTGCACAGACCTATCTCGGAGTTAGTCCCGGAGTTATACTATACTTATTCTACAGGATAAATAGTTTTTACAGCCTAGTAGAGAGTCCAGTCTACAGTCTACAGACCGTCCGGTCAAAAATAAGAATCTGATAAATCCATTAACTAACCCATTAACACCGTGCTATCACAATAAACGCCAAACTAAACATCCAGACAATGCATCCGCGATAATGACACATTTTGATAAACGAACTTCGCCAGAGAGGGGATATCGCAACAGGAGATACCGCAAGACCGTACTCGAACATTCCCAGCGCTGAAAAGAGATCGCTCCCGCTATGCAGAATACAACACTCAACCCGTCCAGTAAGAACATCCATCCACGTCCGCGCTGGTCGAAAGCAAAAGATCCATGCGTAAGGTGTCCGTCTGTCAAACCAAAAACAACGACAAGAGGACAGAACAAAAACAGAACAAAACAGAAAAATATGAACAAGGGTATAACGTAAACAAGAAAGTATAGCAGAAACACCAGTCACGAGTCGGTCATTTCTTGAACATGTAGTGTCCGTAAATTCCACCCACATCGCCGACGGCGACCGGGATCTTGCGCATGCCCCACCACCGGGCGCCCATCTTCCATCCCCGGGACCCGTCGTCGACCGGCTGGTTCGGCATCGAGGCGGGATCCCGAACGTACCAGCCGCGACGACCCAGTTCGCGCACCGTCCAGCCCAGGTTGGTCTTGGCGTTGCGGGTCCGCTCGCGCAGGGGCGCGATCAGCTTGTCGCTGAACTCGATGACCTGCAGGGGCCAGCCCTGCTGTCCCAGGAGGAGGCAGGTGCTCGTGTTGAAGACGGTGCCGAGGGACAGCTGGGGCGCGCGGTTGAGGTCCAGGTAGCACAGCGCGGAGGGGACCCAGGGGGTCGCCTCCTCGCCGGCGGGTACGGCGGGCGGGGCCAGGAAGGCGTTGATGTTCTGGGCCGACAGCTCGGCGGAGCTCAAGCCCAGCTCCTCCAGGTGCTTGGTCAGGGGCACCAGTGCGTTGGCGTGGGCGGACGTGACCTTGGCGCCGCCCAGGTTGAGGGACCGCAGGGTGGCGGGCAGCTTCGGGAGCAGCCGGGACACGTCCTCCTCGTCGAGCAGCCGGAACCGCGAGGGATCGGTCAGCAAGTTCAAAAAGACCAGCGAGTCGCACACGGCCGGGTGGGTGGTCAAAAAGTCCACGACCCGGGGCCCCCGGAGGCGGGTGCACCGGGACAGGCCCAGGTGAGTGATGCGGGCGGTCTCGGGGATGGCGAACAGGGCCGCCTCGCTGATCTGGGTGTGGGTGACATCGAGGTGGGTCAGGTTGATGAGGCGCGGGAGCAGCGTCTCAAAGGCGGAGGCCGGCAGACTGCTGCACTCGTGCATCGAGAGGCGACGCAGGTTCGGCAGGGTCAGGGGCAGGTTGGGCCCCGTGATCAGGGCCTCTTGGAAGACGGCCGAGAAGGACTGGGTGGAACAGCCGCAGAGGTCGATGGCGGCGAGGTTGGGCAGGCCGGTGAATAACTTGCGCAGCACGTCGACGCTCAGGTCGCCTTCCACATGCTCCTGGAGCAGGCACTCGCGCAGGTTGGGCAGAAGGTCGAGGCACTGCAGCAGGGTGCGCGGGGTCAGGTTCTGGATCTCGGCGTTCATCTGCTTGGTGCGTCCCAGCCCCACCGAGGTGAAGTGGGAGAAATCAAGGCGGCGAACCAGCGTGCCGAGCGCCGGATAGGACGACATGTGGTTGAGAGCCTTGGAGAAGATGATGGAGTGCGGGAAGGTCATGTTCCTGTACAACACACCGAGGGTGGCCGCGTGCAACGTCCGGGAGGTGAGCAGGCAGGCAATCAGATCCACGTTGCGCGGTGCGTAGCCGTTGGGCGGGACGTCGATCGCCAGATGAGAGATGATTTGATCTGAACCTGTCAGCGGGGTTTCTCAATCCGAATACGACGGGTTCTAGTTTCCTTACCGAGAACCTCTGGAGGCATCTTCTCGAGAGGGGACAAGCCCGGGACCGGGGCGGCCTTGGGTTCCTCCTTCTTCACATCGATCTTGGGAGGCGGCGTGGGCGTCGGGGTCGACTCCCAGGCCCAGCCACGAGACTGCATCCCCCCGAGGCTTCGCAGGTCGCTGTAGCTGCGGCTCATGCTCCGGCCCCCCAGTCGGATCTGCTTCCAACCGAGGAAGCCGCCGCAGGGGCAGCAGAATTGCGGCGGTTGCTGCATCTCGGGCCCGGCGGGCTGCTTCTGCTCCTTGGGGGACTCTTCAATGTGAGTATCCACAAACGATTGAGCGATACCTGTCCGATGCCCCTGTTAGCGGCAATCCAAGGACCCCGGGGGACTCCCCGGTGCGGCGGACATGCTCGGCTTACCGTCAACGTCTTCTTTGATGGAGCCGCACGAGGGACGACGGCGGCTGCTGGAGCGGGAACCGTCGGGCGAGGAGCCAGAGGAAAGCGGCGACGAGCTGCGTGAGTGGTCCACGGGGGAGGTGTCGCCTGCAGTGATGGTGGAGAGTCGAGGGCAGGAAGGTTTATGGGCGGAGAATCCGGCAGAGGCCATGGCGGAGGACATGATGCAGGTGTCGGCGGGGTGGGAGGGGCCTCTTGGTTCTATATATGGTGCGGACGTAGGTTCGTCCCAAAATAGGAGAGGAAAAAGGGCGGAGAGTTTCGTGGGGACACGAAATACCGAACGAGGTCAGAGGAAAAGTGGGATGGTTGTAAAAAAAAAAAAAAAGGTCAAGCGGAAAAGTAAGCTTCGCTTCCCCGGATTCCACAGTTACTTTCCGGTACGAAAAAAATTTTGCACCTGAAAGAAAGTAACGGTAATTTTAATTTCAATTTTTTCTTCCTCTATCAGGAGAGAAAAAAATCAAAATTAATTAAACGGAAGGGGGGAGAAAAACAATAATAAGAATAGTCGAGTAGAGGGGCGGCGGAGAACAGGCCAACCCAGACGGAACGGGTGAGGAGAGGAAAGAAAGCTGTTAGTCACGGATTGCAGCGGATGGTCCAACGGCCGCGCCCCCCGACGGGCGCACGATGGAGAGGTAGAGGGACGAGATTGGAGAACAGCGATGATTCGCTGGAAGAGGGAAGAATGCTGGTATCCAAGGAAGTGGGATCTTCCAGTAGAGGGAGAGGGGAGAAATCCCGTGGAACAAGAATGGAGGATGAAGTGAGGGGAGGATGGAAAGCAATGGAGGCGATAGTGACGAGGGGAGGGAGAAGGTAGAAGGAGGAGGAACGACGAGAGGATGACCGAAGCAGGTAAAGTATGGGAAGCGTAGTTGGGAATAGTCAGGTGGTAGTCAGAAGAGCGGATCCGCTGTCAGAGAGCTGAGAGAGGAAGAGAGATCAAGATCAGACCGTGGTTGGAAGTAAAGGTTCTTTTGAAGGAGATGCGACGGAGAAAAGAATCGAGAGGCGGAAAACAGAGGAAGGAGACGAAGAGCTGGCAGGTTTGGGTCGGGCCGGAACCATGGGCCTTTCTGATTTTCTTGTTTTTGATTATTTTTTATTCTCTTATTTTTCCTCCTTTCTTCGTATATTACTTTGTTCTTGTAGGTTGTAAGTAGACAATAATTCAAAAGATTCTTTAAGGTAGAAGAGTCATCGGGTGGGATGAGATTTCCGCCACGGGAGGCAAAAAGGAATAATGCCTAACATGACTAGGGACATAAAATAGCGATGGCGGAAAATCACTGATGAATGCGGCCATCGGAGGTAAAATCAACAGTTCATTATTATCCTGTATTAAATCAAACCGGATGTCAATCCCGGTCCATTGGTAGCTAATATTCTAGTTACCTCGAGTCGAGTCTTTTTTCTTTGATTGATCGTATATTATTTATGATTTGATTGCCAATATCCTTACTGATTTATTTGATATGATTTGCTTTTTCTAATTGGATCTGCATTCTTAAAAATAAACTGGGGCGGAAGAAAAAGAAAAAGAAGTTATCAATCAACGATCGATCATCACGGGACCTCTCCTATACTCCTCTATAATTCTAGATGACCGTCAATAACAGATCAATATGATGACTCCGAGGAGATGTCTCCAGTGTCCCACCTGTCCACCTGGCGAGTCTATAGATTTCTCCAATTCAATGTGATACATGGACGTGCGTCGATGAGATTTCCCACTGATCTAAACCCGGTTCGGGATCGTCGCCGGACATTCTATGACATAATGGAAAACACCCGTGACCTCTCTCGCTCTTTCTCTCTCTTTCTTTCGGTCTCTGTCTCTCTCCGCTGACTGTTTCTTTTGACTTCTGAGATCATTCCATTCCTTTACGGTCCTGTCATATAGTAACTAGAATAGAATAATTCAATGGACCAAAACAGAATCAATGGTTCGTCAAGATGATCGCCGACGATGAAGGATGAGGATACCCCAGACTAGCCACGTTCCCTTCAATTCTTACCTAACTCTTTTCCCCGTCATTGGCCACGACGGTCCATCAAAGGTCCCGTGACCCTGCGGAGACCACTAGTGCATCGTCATCCTTATACTCCGTACTACTCTGGATAAACAGAGTATCCGTAGTATAGTCACTATACGGATAGTAGTCACTGGTACCCCTGGTAGTCTCTTCCTCGCTTCCATCTGCTGACTCTCTCCTTCCCCGTCCTGAAAGACTGGGATGGATCTCCAACCTCAGACCCACCAATCAATCCCCAGTCGGAACCAGACCTCCTTCCCCTCCAATCGACCTGTAGGTAATACCAGTCAAGTTGCATGGAACGAACTGAAAACCCATCATAGCTCCTGGTCTGGATCTGCCCACATTAACCCATCAACCCCGGTTTCTCTCCCCCTCCAGCCTTGGTTCATCACTCAAGCTTTAGACACTTATCCACCCCCCTCTGCCCATCCCTGGCATTACCCTACAGCAAGGGGGGTACTCACTTACCTAGTTGACCAGCACGGGGCAGGTCACATGGCCATCTCTTGCATGTCAACCCTCCGGAACAACCCTAAATATTCCCGCCTTGAAGAAGGCCGAAGGACGATAAGAAAGAAAGGGATCGAGTCCAGACCGCCAAGACTCCATCCCCACGCGCTATTGGATAATATCGTCGTCGCCCTTTCTCTGCCGGACCCCTGCATTCATAAAAGGTGTGCTAGATGGTTCGATGGATAAGGCAGACCACCCCTGTTTATGCTGGCATACATGCTGTACATTCCTCGGGAATGGTATTGCTGTTATCTCGCCAGATAGGCGTCATCTGTCATACTTGATCACCTCATCGTGACGTCTTATGGGTTGAGTCTTTCATCAACCTGATCAAGGGATTGCGTCCATCATCCTCAAGGGCTGCCATTCCTCATAGTGTCTTCACCTCGTAGGGAAGAATCAATCAGTCGATAGGCTTATCAGTCCATCCGCCCCTGTACATGTCCAGCCTCATCATAGCCTTACGGATTGTCAATGGATGTAACCATGTCTAGCTTGTCAGCTGTTGGAGGTCGTGATCTCTAACTCTGCAGATGCAGCTCGCCTAGCTGTCGTTTACTCGAGTCAGCTAACACAGGAGTATATCATATTAAGGCATCCTTCACTAAACCAATACCGTAGTGTCATGCTATCTATCCATGGCATGACTGTATCGAATTCCATCGACTAGTCATGTCTGCTCAGCCAGAACAAGTCCAGATACAAACATGGCTGCAGCGTCTTGCATTTACCAACTGGATTGTTGACTCATGGTTGTATTCATAATTGACATAACTTATACGCTATCTATCACAAACATAGTCAACTGCCTGCATATCACCTCTAATCCTCAAAACAACAGCCAAAAAAATAGACTACCTATCTCTACCTACCTAGTATGTAGAGCCTGAGAGGCCTGTTTAACCTGTTTGCACCCCAACCCAACCAAATCAACCAAAGGAAAAAAAGAAGAAAACCCGGCAGAACTCCCACCGCCCCTCACCGCCAAAATTTCTCTCTCACCGTCCAACCACCAAAACATCCTCCAAAAAAAGATAGCGAAAAGAGCAGACAGAGAAAAGAGACTTACAAAACCAACCAAAATGGTCCGTCAATTCAAACACCACGAGCGCAAGCTCCTCCGCAAGGTCGACTTCAACACCTGTATGTCCTTCCCTCCCTCTCCTCACCTTCTTTCCTCCAGAAAACCTCCCAAAAATAAAAAACTAGAATTCCAAAAAAAAAACTTCAAACTAATAATGAAAAGACAAATCCGACGGCTCCCACCGCGAACACACCGTCCGCCAACGCTACCACCTCCAAGAATACGACTACAAGAAATACAACACCCTCTGCGGCTCGCTGCGGCAGCTGGCGCACAAACTCTCCCAGCTCGACCCCGAGACGGACCCCACGCGGCGGCAGATCGAGGCCGACGTGCTGGACAAGCTGTGGAACATGGGGATCCTGAAGCAGAGCCGCGAGCAGGGAGCGGGCCTGTCGCGGGTCGAGCGCGAGGTGACCGTGTCGGCGTTTTGTAGGCGCCGGTTGGGCGTTTATATGGCGAGGGCGGGGATGGTGGAGAATGTTGTTACGGTATTTCTCTTCCCTCTTCCTCCTTCCCTTCTTGATTGTTTTCCACTGCTGTGGGAAAGAGAGGGGGTGTATATGCTGATACTAACAATAACATAGGCAATCACGTTCATCGAACAAGGCCACGTCCGCGTCGGAACGGAGGTCGTTACCGACCCGGCCTTCCTCGTCACCCGCAATATGGAGGACTTTGTCACCTGGGTGGATAGCAGCAAGATCAAGCGGAGTATCATGCAGTATCGGGATAATCTGGATGATTATGATTTGCTGTGAGGGTGGATTGGGTGGATGGTGGTAGATAGATAGATACCCTTGGTTTTATTTTATCGGTTTCTTTGTGTTTCTTGGTGGGTTTGATTTGATTTGGATTGACTTGATTTGGACTGAATTGGATGGAGTTGGGGCTGTATATGGTTGTTTGGTAAAAGTTCTACATATGTTTTGTCTACTTACTACCTACTTACTCTGTCTCGTGTCTCAGTCTGAGACAGGACGGAATAGATGAATGAATAAAGTATGGTAAAAAATAATGACGATGCTATTATCAGTCTATCTCATTATGGGTATCATAATCCACAGCCCTAAATCACTTATCAAAAGTGCCGGCCTCCACTCACCTAACCAAACAGAGTGACCACCAAGCCACCCATTCCATCAGCCCCTCAAGCACAGCTCAGGGCACACGTTCAAACGACAGAAATGATATAAGATGATCACCTCCGCACCCCCAACCGCCTCTTGATCATCCCCCCCATCTTCCGCCCCGACCCCCCTTCCTCAGGAATATCCATTCGGAACCGCCGAACGCTCCCCTCGTAATTCGCCTTGCCGTCTTTGACTTCGAAGAACGGCGTGCGGGCTTCGTTGGAGCGGCACCAGCGAGGCGCCACGCGGCGCCAGAGGCCGCGCACGCCGCTGCTGGCTCGGTCGATCTTCTCGTACTCGCGCCGCCGTGTCGACGGCGTCGTCCAGTCGATTACGGTCGTTGAAGGGTTCTTTTCCACGCCGTCGAGGTGGTGCGGGCGGGCGGGCATGGAGTATGCGCGGATGGGCGGTCCGGCGCGTGGTGCTGCCGGGCGGGATGGGGTCGGTTCGTGTGAGAAGCGTCCGGGGTGGACGGCTGGTGCGGGGGTCTCGGAGGAGCGGCGGGTGGGGGATTGCGGGGTGGATGGGGGTGGGGAGAGTGGCTTTGACGGGAGGACCACTAGTGGTTGTGATTGTTGTGGCTGGGGCTCGGGATTGTGGAATAGCCGGCAGGATTCTCGGTGGAGGGCGAGGAGACTCTGGCGCTGGGATTCGGGGGAGGTCGGTGCCGTGGACCCAGGTGTTAGGGAGGTGCCGGTTGGGATGCGACTGTGGGAGTGGAGGGAGCTCCGTCGGCTGCTCGGAGCGGAGCGGCGAGTGTTGCACGATGTCGAGCGGCGGTGATCTGAAGGCGGTTTGGGGGTCGATGATGGGGAAACGGTGCGCTTTCGCTTGGGGATGCGTGGAGATAGCGGCGGCGTGGTTGTCATGCATGTCGAGCCCTGATTCTGCATCGGGTGCTCCACGCATCCCACCATCTCGTCCCAGGGTTCATCGGGGATCAGGTCCAGCCCGATGGGTTTGCATGGTGTTGTCGTAGCCACGGTGATTTCGGTAATCTCAGCGCGGCTGGGGGTCTTTGCGTCCCCGTGCACGCCAGGTGGGACGGGAGAACCGATGTTGAGCGGTGAGATGTGCGAGACGTGAGGAGTTGAGGGATCTGGTTTTATAGTTGGGTTGGCCTGGAGTGGATCTGCTGCAAGGGCCGGTAAGACTGGATCGAGTGGGCGGCTATGGGTGCTATTTTGATTCCCTCCGTGATATGAATAGGCGCCCGGTAGTTGACCGTGGCATGTGATGGTCACCATGACCAGGTTTTTTTCGTGAGATGATCTTTAGGCGAACAGATTAGGTGTTCGTCAGGTGCGACGAAAAGAATCAGGAAATCTCAAGTATCCGATGATCCTGGTCCGACCTTCACATGCGTTGCCAAATGGCACCAGTGAGACTTAGTGTAGTGTCGCAGATCAATTGATAGGCACCACCAGTTGGTGGGACAGGTCCGTAGGGCGGATAATTAAATCAGACGAATAGCAGAGGCTCTTTGATTAAGAATAAGAATAAAGAAAATATAAATAGGTTGATAGTGAGTGAGCAACAATAGGAACTTAATAAAGAGATGGCAATCAGATTAGGGTTTCCGACAATGAGGGGAAATAATCCAGAGGGTACAAAGACGCTGATCGTCCTCCCACGTTCAGTTGGTGGTTTGAAGCATGGTGGACTCGGGACAAAGAGATAACGAATGCAATGAAGAAATAAACCGGTCAATCAGGCGGTTGAAAGCAGTCACAGTAAGGACTTAAAGACAGGAAGAAAGAAGGGATAACGAGGGCGATGGTCAGGCGGTCATGCTGCAGAGAGCATCTGTCAGGGGAGTACTGTATGATGTATCATTCCGAGACATCAACCGTTGATCACTCTTCTCGCACCCCTCGAGTATTAATATTCTTGCATCGGACCATTTTTTCCTGCTCTTTTTCGTTTTTCCCTTTTTTTTTCTGGGTTTCACACCGACTTTGATCCTCCACACCGCCGAGTGGAGCGTCGTCGTGAAGGGTGGATAGCGGGGGGGCTTGGGTAGTGGCCGCCTTGGAGGGGAATTAGTCTAGATGCAGCAACGATTAACCCCGGGCTCCTCTCGATCCTGCCATGGCAGGATTAACGCAGCGTTAAGGGTCTGACCAAGTGGGCGAGTGTCCAATGGTCAGGAACCTGTTGGGAAGACCCTCGTCAACACGTTGTGATCGTATCCGATGATTTGAGAGAGACATCATTGGTCTAGACGTCGCAGACCCCGCTTCCCCTGGCATTTTGTCTCGAGTCAGACAGTCCCTGCAGGTGGAGGAACTCATGGAATCCGGATGATTCTTGCCGTGGCGAACCGGCCAAGAGATCTCTGGAATGGTGGGAAGCTTGGAAACCCTTGAGTCCACTATGAATGCCTGGATTAGGAATTCACCCCTCCCCGGATAAAAATCCCGCAACCAAGCCGGATATGATCCTTCCAACACCTGGAGTGTATCAGGACTGGGGAATATGTTCCTTTGCTATAATCCAGCCGTAATCCAGGTCACTAGGTATCAGATCACCGGCAGACATCAGACTTCGTATTCTTGAAGCTGAGCTCACGATTGATGTCAACGCGTTTGACATATTCGGCACAGATATCCTGAAAGAACAAGGCAGACTTGCCAAATGTACATGACCCAAGATGGAAGGATGAACATGAACTATTTGCCACTGTTTGCCTGACAACGTTGCCACAGGAGTCAATCATTCCCTGATGGAATCTCCATAGATGCACAGATGATATGACCCAGTAGATATTGGAACTAAACCTGGAAGAAGAACCATTGACCGACGTGGTAAAAGAACAAGATGATCCCGTTTCGCGATGGGCCGATAAGAGCACCACCGCCTTCCTGACCGCCCACGGCGGGGGGGAGTGTTCTGCCCGCCAGAAATGACTCTTTCCCCCGCTTTAGTCTGAAATTTTTTCCTCCGCGCCCGCGATAGATTCATTTCTGCTTTGGACGAGGTAGCCTTCTCACCGGATAACCGTTTCTCGAATCTCTTTCGTTGACCTCTCGTTCCAATTCAATCAATCCTACCTTCACCATGGCGGACGCAGAGATCCCTTCGGCCACCTTCGACACCATCCTGACTCTGGATTTCGGGTCGCAATACGTGAGATATACAACTCGATCGTCGCATCAACATACAGTCCACTAACGCTGTCGCAGACTCACCTGATCACGCGCCGTCTCCGTGAGCTCAATGTGTACAGTGAAATGCTCCCGTGTACCCAGAAGTTGGCCGATCTCCACTTCAAGCCCAAGGGTATCATCCTCTCCGGTGGCCCCTACAGTGTCTACGAGGAAGGCTCTCCTCACGTTGATCCCGCCTTCCTGGACCTCGGAGTCCCCGTCCTCGGTATCTGCTACGGCCAGCAGGAGCTGGCCTACCGCCTGGGCAAGGATAATGTCGTGGCTGGTGTCGCCCGCGAGTATGGCCACGCGGACCTGAGCGCGAAGAGACTCGACGACCAGGGCCATGTCGACCGTCTGTTCGCCGGTCTAGAGGATCACATGAAGGTTTGGATGAGCCACGGTGACAAGCTGGCTCGTCTTCCTGAGGGTTTCCATACCATTGCGACGACCTCCAACTCGGAGTATGCCGGTATCGCGCATCAGACCAAGCCCGTCTATGGTGAGTCATTATAGTAGTTGGTGCACGGACGTCTTCGAGCGTGACTAAACAGATACCAACAGGCGTTCAATTCCACCCCGAGGTGTCCCACACCCCCAATGGCATCAAGCTTCTGAAGAACTTCGCGGTGGACATCTGCGGCGCGAGCCAGAACTGGACCATGTCCAAGTTCGTGGACCAGGAGATCGCCCGCATTCGCAAGCTGGTCGGCGAGACCGATCATGTGCTGGGTGCCGTCAGCGGCGGTGTTGACTCCACCGTGTAGGTTTCTCTTTTTCATTCTGAGTGGGTACAATATCTGTACAGAGCTAATGTGTACCAGGGCTGCGAAGCTGATGAAGGAGGCGATCGGCGACCGCTTCCATGCTGTCCTGGTCAACAACGGGTGCATGCGCTGGCAGGAGTGCGAGTCTGTCCACGAGCGACTGACTAAGAACCTGGGCATCAACCTGACCGTTGTTGATGCGTCCAAGCTCTTCCTGGACGGGCTCAAGGGCGTCACGGATCCCGAGAAGAAGCGCAAGTTCATCGGTGGTACCTTCATCGATGTGTTCGAGCAGCAGGCCGAGAAGATCGAAGCCGAAGCCCAGCACACCACCGGCGCCAAGGTCAAGTGGTTCCTCCAGGGAACCCTGTACCCCGATGTCATTGAAAGCATCTCCTTCAAGGGCCCCTCCGCCACCATCAAGACCCACCACAACGTCGGTGGCTTGCCTCGTAAGTCCTCCCGGAAGGTATCCCTGCAGAGCTCCCAGCTAACGGTGACACAGAGCGCATGATCGACGGACAGGGCATGAGGCTCATCGAGCCCCTCCGTGAGCTGTTCAAGGACGAGGTCCGCGCTTTGGGCGAGCAGCTGGGAATTGCCCACGAGCTCGTCATGAGACATCCTTTCCCTGGCCCTGGTATCGCCATCCGCATCCTCGGCGAGGTGACTCCCGAGCGTGTCGAGATTGCCCGCCGGGCCGACCACATCTTCATCTCGATGATCCGCGAGGCTGGTCTGTACGACCAGATTGCCCAGGCCTACGCCGCTCTGGATCCCAGCAAGGCCGTTGGTGTTATGGTATGTGATATAATATCCCACTCAGTCAGTAGCAGTGACTAACTTCAAACAGGGCGACAAGCGCGTCTACGCAGAGATCATCATCCTGCGCGCCGTCGAAACCACCGACTGTGAGTTATTCCATCCACAATTTGGAGATTCCCACTAATGATATGAACAGTCATGACCGCTCGCGCCTTCCCCTTCGACAACGAGTTCCTGAGCCGCGCCGCCACCAGAATCATCAACGAAGTGCACGGTGGTATGTCTTCTCTTCTTTCTCCTTTTTGGTTCCCATTTTTCAATACTAATATCTATTGATAGTGTCTCGCGTGCTCTACGATATCTCCAGCAAGCCTCCTGCCACGATCGAGATGGAGTAAACGGTTCGGTTTAGATTTAGTTTAGTACCTACCTAGTAAAAGATAGAATGTCTGCATGTCCGGGAGGAGTTTTGGTTTGAGATACTTGGTTTAGATTATAGTTTTCTATATTATAGGAAATGCTCTTTGTTATGTTAGATGTTGGATTTCGAGGTAGAAGTGTGGCTCTTGAATGGGCTATCTGCTTGTAAAGTCTAAAGTCGATGTTGTGATTACTAGTATGGCTTTCTGTTACCGTGATATATAACTATGTGTAGTTCGGTTTTGTTATCACTATTTATATATCTGTGTATGGACAAGGTTGCGGTGTATTCACTGGCGAACGCAGTCACTAGAGGGGAGGAAGTATTGTTTAGCATCTGAAGTGAAATATATACATCCTCCTAAATATTGAAACAATGAGAGACGACAAAGATATCTACCATAGACTGGAGCAAAATCTCGTACAGAAGCAAATGGGTTTAAACATCCGTGAAACGTAAGAGACTCAGAACTATACCGTCCCAGTCATAACATGCGTTTATTTCCTACGAGCTATTGCATAAAACAAACCAGCTAGTCCTTACCGCTACGATTCTAACCACCAAGTATCGATCCCCAACCAGTGTACCAAGTAATAACCGCCAACAGGTCATCCAACAACCAAGCATAGAAACCACCTACTGGCTCCACTCATTCGCAGGAGCCGACTCCGCATGAGGCAGCATGACTCTCCTCGGCCCCCCTTCCTGCTCCGGGTCCTCCGCCTCCTCCTCTCCATTCAAAATCTCCGGACGCGCCGGCCTCTGATAATCGCCATTTGCACGCTCCGAGAACACATCGCGCATCCAGCTAGCATTCGCGCGTCGACGAAAGCCAAAGCAGGTAATCCCGACCTAGCAGCACAACCGGTCAGCATCATCATCTCTAATAGCCCACAAATAGCAGCGACATCCACCCTACCTTAACGATCAAAATCAAAGCAACGGCAGCAAACATCGTCCACGAAGTCGACACCGTCTGTTCCCTCCACGGCACCAGACAGCTCCGCCTATAACCGAACTGCGCCTCGCACGCATCGTCGCCATGGTCGCGGTTCTTGAACGGCCAGGCGCGGTCGCGCGTGCTGTGCAGGCCACAGCACTGGAAGCGGTCTTGGATGGAGCGGATGGTGTGTGCGTCTTTCGCTTGGAAGTGGCTCTGCCAGTAGGATTCTAGGCGGCAGATGAGGAGGCTGTCTGGGAAGAGGACGGTCAGGGTGGTGGTGAGGAGGATGGTTACGAGGATTGTGTAGAGTTGGTCGAGGAGGGTGGCGAGCTTTTGGCGATAGGCGTTGGTTCGGGTTCCTTCAGGCTTGAATCCTAGCAGGCTCACTGCGAGGAGGGTGAGGGCTGAGAGGAGGGTGGTTGTGCCTGGGAGCCATTGCGGGGTGGGGAGGAAGGAGGATAGGGTGCGGGACCAGGAGATGCTTGGATGGGGGAGTTGGTTAGTTTGGATGGTTGTTGATTTATGATGGTTAGATGGTTTACTTACGCGCCGAGGATGAGAGATAGTATTAGACACTGGTACACAAGGATGGGTTAGAGAGGAGTTGTTGATTGACGAGAGGTCTTTGTCTGTTGGTTGCTCCTACCAATATGATGGGAAATACGGGGTTTCCAAAGATCGATGGCATTTTTGGGATGTTGATGGTGATGGTGATGGTGATGGATTGTGGTGTTGATGGTAAACAAGCGATCTACTTATAGATGGAAGAAGTGGGGTGAGTTGTGGAGGCTGTGGAGGTGGAGATCCACTCCTATACCTACCTGGTGGTCTATGGATTCTGTCACTTGCAGCGCGTCTCACTCGTTACCTGTCTTGACTCAAACTGGCTCTCCCGGAAACCTTACATGGGTTTCAAGGGCCCTAGCTTTTTAGAATAATGAATCTCAAGCAAGTCTTTTATCTACACTCATCCCCGGATCGAGATGCTAATAATATGGAGGCCCCCGGCTTCCACCCTCATGATAGGCAGGCCCAATTTCCTCCAAACTACCTCCCATACCACAGGCAAAAGCCTCCTTATAACAACCCTCGAACCAAGCCCCGTCATAGTTGCTTTCTGATCCATCATTCTCAACTCTCCACTGTCTCACCACATTCCCATAATCATCCAAAAACACGTGCAATAAACCTCCACCGCGGAGCACCACCTCATCCTCCACGAATACATGAGTAACAACACTAGCAGCGTGCCAGGGCCAATACCTATTCAGTGGATTCTTTTCCGACTCCGCCTGGCCTCTCGCTAACAACTCTTTAACCTCATCGGAGTAGTTCTCCGCACTAGGACATGGACTTTCCTGTGCAGCATCGACCATTTCTCTGAACTGTGCCTCTCTGAATTCTAGATCAACAGGTTCATTCGTCACACGCTCTGGAAAAACCTCCAGGGCAGCTGCCAAATCCAAGCCACTGAAGATACTCTCATCATCGAGGACTATCCCGTCATCACCAACCCATTCCGCATCTTCATTCTCAGCCCACAGGGTCTTATGCGCCTCTTCATCAGTGTAGCAGAGACGAAGCCACAGACCCGATAAAGATGCGGTGTCATCCGCGTAGGCGCGTAGAGCCTCGGGACGTATCGGTCGAAGAATCTCGTCGATTTGATTTTCAGTTGGAATGGGTGGCGATTCCTGGCAGTAGGGCTGTCAGGGTGGTATTGATTCGGGGTCAGTTGCGGTGTATGATCTGTATGATAGGGGTTATATACCTGTCTGCCTTCGAACCCCAATGCGAGAAATTGCCGAACAAGCCGCTTGCGACGGTCTGCGGGGGATTCGTTGGACTGGGAAGGGTCTGGGGGAAGGGTTTCCCATTCGGAGAGGAAGTAGACTTCCAATGGAAGTTCTCCCCAGGGTGGTTGTTTGGGTTGTTGGTCGTCAAGCTTATAGACCGGCATTCTGGATTTCGTCCCTCCGATGCTTGGGATGTAGGACTGAAAGACATATATATCTGATATCTCGGTCTCCAACATGGCGGGTGCACTAGTTTGGCGTATAATACAGCTTAAAAGGTACTGAAGACGTATTTGTAAGATACATTGACTAGTCCAGGGTTTGTAATAACATCCAATAAGAGCTACATGGGATCTATGACCGTCGACTGTACTCCGTAGACCTCGGGGATTTGAGACCCCAGGGTTTGAAAGCACAAGACGGTTGTTGCAAGATAAGGCCATAAAATTACAGAGCGCAAAGGTGTATGATGTCTTTCGTAGCTGAGTGGTAATTACATTCTACCACAGTCATCATCTTGGGCTTGTAGATGCTAGATCTCTTGCTCTAGCACATGCAAGTTCCTTTTTCATGCTTAGTACTAATAAAGCTCTATACTCCTTTCGAAGACACACACAGATCTTGATATCACTGAGTACATAGTACTCTCATACGGAGGATGGGTATCTTTCTTCCGCTGGGAAGGAGCCTGCCTGCTCAGAGTGGCCGTCTCAGTTACATAAGTGACTCACAACCAAGGAGATCTCCCCACGAGCACATCAACACCACCAACAGAATCACTCTCCCAACCCAACCATGGGACCGAGTATGGGTCCAAGCTGCCATTCACTGCTCAGTACCTGTCAGGCAAGCAGAGAGGCTGGCCCCCCTGCAGTGATAGGAAGGGAATCAACACAAGCGAGTGAATACACCCCGTCAACAAAGTGACCTCATTATTTCCTGTTCAGGAAGGAGGTGAACGCAGTGAAGAAGTGACAGATTGGGACCTGGGACTGCCTGCCAGAGGGTATAAATACCCCATCCTCCCCCCATTGAAGGTCTCTCTCTTCTTCTCTCCTACATCCATCTCCCATAGTACCCTTCCCACCCTTACCCTTCCTATCCATCCCGTATATCCTCCCCTATATCATAGCCTCATCCTTAGCTTCATCCTCATATTCATTCTTATATTCATTCTTATATTCATTCTTATATTCATTCTTATATTCATTCTTACCTTCATCCTTACCTTATCTTTACCTTCATCATTACTTTTACTACCTTCATCCTTATATCCATCATAACCTTCATCCATATATTTTATCCCTTCTCGTCGTTCATACTCTTTCTTCTTTCCCAATTCCTTTCCCATCCTTGCCCATCTCCTTCCTGTATCGTTCCCCATCCCCCTCCTGTATCCTCTCCCTATCCTTATCCTCTCATTCTTATCCCTATTCTTACCCTCTATTCTTACCCTATATCCTTATCTTGTATCCTTATCCCCTATTCTTATCATCCATTCTTATCCTGTATCCTTACCATATATCATTATCCACCCCCTACACATGCCAACCGTCGAGGGCACGAAGAACTTCCATCGTCGTGCCCAATCATGGCAGGCATACATTCCCCACTGTATTTAGCTAGACACACACCCAATCATCCTTCACATTCATTCGGACGGGAACAACGATCAGAAAAAACATCGGGTGGGCAAAAAAAAAAAAAAAAAAAAAGAACTTGATCGAAAGTCAAAGAGCAATCAAACTGCAGAGAAAGAGCAGACCCTAACTGCAGGGAATTCAATTTTTTTTTCGGGGTCTTGAGATTGACTGTTCTTCTAGGATATCGTCTTCTGGGCCCTTGGTTGGGTGGCTGGGTTGGGCCTGGGTTATCAGATGTCGGCGGAAGCCGTACGGTATGTCTTTCTATACTTTCCTTTGGAACAGTGGAAGACATAACTAATACCGACTGTATGCCTCCATATCACCGACATCTTGATATGGTTCTCAGAGACGCTATTCTGGTAAGACACCTTCTTCTGGGCCCTTGGTTGGGTGATTGGGTTGGGCCTGGGTCATGAGATATCGATGGTGGCTTTTGGTATGTTCTTGTCTATTCGTTTAGTTCCTTCTTCGCAGTTGATAGTCTTATTGATATGTGTTAGGGATATATATACTGGTCGGTGTGAACTTCCTGTTGATGGACTGGATCATGGGCTTTTGTGGAGATTGGGAACTATCATTGTGTACTGGGCGTGAAGGAAAGATGCAAAGCTAAGGGCATTGGTGAACAAGTCTGTATGTTGATTGGTATGCCACATCATGTTATGAACAAGACCTGTACATCCAATCAACGTGTTCACCATCATCAGTAATGGACCACACTGTAGACTGTCTGATCAACAGTAGACAGCCTGATATATACGTATAGTAGTTTGGCACGACCAACAAGGTCTTCGCATTATATACACCCCCTTCACCACTGGAATATGTACCTATAGAAGTATGACACGGCCAAACAAGCTCATCGCATTATATACACCCCCTTCACCACTAGAACCACAACATTTACAGTCTATAAGTCTACATCTAAACCAACGCCACCAAATCCTTCGACACGAGGTGCGCCTCACCAAGAACCTCCTTAATAACCAACACCAACTCATCAACCGTCCCCAAAAACTTCAAATAAGCACTCAACGCCACACAATACCTCCTCTCATTCTCATCGCGCACACGCTCCGCCCTCAACGCACCCACCTCCTCGGGATGCAACCGCCAGTACTCAAACGAGCGCTTCACAAGCGGCGAAGGCAGAATCTCCGGCGGCGCATCCTCCGACTGCAGCGCCTGCTCGCAAACACCCAGCACGGCCATAACCTCGCCTATCGCACGATGGTCCAGCAGGCCCGTCTGGCGGGCGAGCCGATCGCGGTGTTCCGGCGGCAGGGAGCCTGAGAGCAGCAGCAGGCGGCCGAGGTTCCGGTTGAGATTGTGGCAGAGGCGTTTGACGCGGTCGAGGGAGGCGCTGTCGAAGCGGGAGCTGGAGAACTCGAAGCGGAGGAGCTGGATGGGGCTGTCTAGGGTGACGAGGGATTGGGCGAGTTGGAGGGAGATGGGCTCTGCGAGGAGTTGGCCTTCTGTGGGCGTTTGGGAGTGGTGGGAGGACCAGCTGGAGAGGAGGAGGGCGTAGTGGTCTGAGATTGTGCGGATTGTGTTGGAGAGAGATTTGCGGATGTGTTTGGAGGCGGAGGGCGGGTGGGGGATGATTTGCACGATTGTTGCTGCTGCTACGCCGATTAGGACGAGGAGGAGACGCCGCCAGAAGACGGTGTAGCCTAGGCCCGGGCTGCCGTATTGGGGGAGGTGCCTAGGGGGTTTAGTTGGTTAGTGGTGGTTTCTGGGAGACAGGTTGATGGTAGGTAGGATGGTGACTGGATGGGAATGGGGAGTGGGGTGAAGACTCACGTGTCGTCGTAGCTGTATGCTACGACTAGGAGGAACGTCGCGCCTCCCATGATACCTCCTTGTAGTAGATTGGGCGGTAGGTACAATCTAACCCACATGAAGATGAGAAGCATCGCGCCGACAATGGCCGACAGCCCATAGGGATTGCCAGGTCCCATTCCGGAGCCGATATACCAGGCCAACAAGCCGAGGGCGCCGCCGACGACGGTCCCCACGACTCGCGAGATCACGGAGAAGGTAAAGTCCGCCATGTAGACCAGCATTCCTGTCTGCGCCATGATCAGGGCCCAGAGGCCCTTTTCGCGATAGTAGAAGCCGGCTGTATGCGGCAGCACGCCGGGAATAGCAAGAGCGATGGTTACCACAACCACTCTCATCGCGTACAGCCCGTCATTCGACGTGAACCAGTGGTAGGTTCCGAGAATCGCACGGCCGAGCCAGCTGCGCTGTTTACCGCGGTATTTGCGGCTTATGCGGAGCTTTTCTTGCGCGGCTTTGGTTAGATCGCTCACATCGTCGGGGTCGTTGTCTGTGGTCTGCTCCATGGCTGGCGCTTTGTCTCCTTTCCCTGTGGCCCATGAAAAGGCATGTTGGAGACCGGTCGGGAACCACAGTCGGGTGTGAGGCGAGTCGTGGAAAACTTTGGATACCTGGGTGAGGAGCGCTTCCGTTCTCTCTAGAACCTTGGACATTTGGTCCTCGAAGGCCATGCCGACCATGAGGCCTCGGAATCGGCCGATCTTGTCTTTGGGAGGCATTGCGCTGATGTCGTCGAGAAAAGGGCCATACTCTGCGTGGAGGAACTCGGTCGTGTCATGGACGAAGGAGACGTGGGTCTCGCGCAGAGACTCCAATGCAGCCTGGCTGCGTTGGTACAGTTCTTCCCGTTCTGCCGCGGAGGGGCGCCAGAACCAACGGCGGCAGTTGACCAGGTGGATACAGGACTTGACGACATCCAAGCCCTCTATACAGGCAGCTATTGCCTCTGTGCCCGTTCCTAGAAGCTCTTTGACCATCTCATCGTGGAGGGGCTGGCTGTCTGGGTAGCGGAATCCATCCAGCATTCCCCCCAGCTGCGATAGCTGGTGGTCTCCAATGTGGTGGGGACGTTTTTCGTCTTCGTTCTGCATCGACTTGCGCTCTTCGTGCCGTTTCAAGGCATCCGCCGATCGGACATCTCCGTATATCCGGTTCATGTGGAGCTCTAACAGCGACAGGATCGACGCCATGGCCTGTCGCATCGGCTCCTTGAAAGTCTCCACATCCCGAGCTCCCCAGCAGCCCACTGAAAAGTCCAACGGTAGGAAGGCAAGCGCCGGTTCCATTTTCTGATATAGTCCAATAATTCTGGACCGGGTCTTTTGCAGCTGCTTGATATCTAGCTCCTCCCCATCTTTGTCTAGAGCAAGAGACGTGAGGGCGAGGGGCATTTTGAGAAGCTCTACGATATCCTCCATGCTGTCCAGGACTACGTGCGAAGTAGACCGCGGAAAGAAGAGGATCGAGGATGCCAGTCCAAGGCCGACCCCAATGCCAGCGGGCTTTACGAGCGCCAATGGCATTGTCCCCGAAAATGACGGCAGTAGCGGCACGTAATTGAGAAAGAGATCGGATATGATCGTGCTGAAGATTTGAGTAAATGCCATCTTTGGGTTACTTGCTCGCAAGCGGGCCTAGAATCGGTTAGTGAAAGATCACTTGCGACGTAGGATTGTCCTTACCATAAGATAAATGAATACACAAACCATGCAGAATGTCACTGCCGACACGCGCGCATCTAGCATGTGTCCATCGTAGACTAAACGCTGCGCAGCTACACCGGGTGCGATTCCTGTTGCATTGGCTTGCGCGACTGCTAGCTGTTGCAGGGACTGTAGCCGTGCCTGTCTGTCGGCAGCCGGTCTGGCTGCCATGGCAGCCTTCATTACGATCAGGCCCCATGCCCAAGCAAGACAGATACCAAAGAAGAGAGAGAGGGCCCCCAGAAGATAAATCAAGACGATGCCCGATGGAGGAAGCATCAACTGAACCAGACTAAAATTAGGTTTTAGTAAATGTTCCACATAACAGGCCCGTCAACAGACGCAGACAGCACTTACCATGCGAAGAATGTCGCAGTGCCAATGTTACGAAGAGAAGGACTGATGAAGATCAGAAGACAGGCCACCCAGGCACCGACCCAACAGCGAAAAAAGATCTTGAGATCGCGCCCATTGAAATGATCCAGGAACGCCGGCAATCGATGTTTTTTCTGGCTTGTAGCCGCATTGCGAAGGGTCTCTGCTACCAGTTGCTGGCGGGCGGGATTCGAGCCGGTTCTAGACATGACGTCAGTCGTGCGCCTCGGCTGGTCCTCGAAGAAAGCTAAACAACCATTGAGGTTATCTTTGTGCAATGGACAGGAGGGCAATCGGAAAGTAATCGAAGGAATATATGGTCCACGAAAAATGCAATAAAGGAGGCAAGAGAATATAGGAAGTGGAGAACAGATGTCTCAAGCCCAAGAATGCGTTCATCGGTGGCCAGGCAGAACTTATGAGATAAAAAGAACCCATGGTTAATCGACCATCCTGCTAACTAGTGAAGATCTGCTTCTTGACCTTCCTCTCTGGGTTTAACATCCGAATTTTCCTGGCCTCCTACCTTTCAGGCAAAATTTGATTGTGATGGAGGTCCGTTCATAAATTTGGCTTGTGATAGACAGACACAGGCACGTAATTGTTTATGAACGTGGCAAAGACGGCCATGGGCTTCTAGCCTTCTAGGGAGCTGGATTGCTCCACAAGCAGCAGGCTCGGATCGACCCACTTTGGCCGTTTCTAATTTGTGATCATCTCTCCAGCCAGTAAGGGATACTTCGTTCCTTATCTAGGCTTGTCATTATTTGTCCCCTGGGTGATATTGTAGTGCTAGGTCAGTATGATCGACTGTCGAGAGACGCAAACCCCGCATCCTCCTACTCTATCTAGCTAGCGACAGCTTGCGTGGGTCGGGAGGTTCCGGATCCCGCGTTGGAAGAGTTTTCAAGCTGCTCATTTGTCTCTGGATGTATGTAGTGGCTGTAGGGTGGATGCGAGTTCTGTGCTGGTGGTCTGGGTGTTGCTGGAGTGAAGGCGGAGAGATCAAAACGGCGAAAGGCCTGAACCACGAGGATGGCCTGAGAAAAGAGGCTCTCACCACGTGCACCACTCATCAAGCAGGTGTGTAAATGAAAAGGAAGTACTCCGTAGAGCATATAAATAAATATATATATATATTGACATTATATAAGTCGCACTTATGAATTCGAGTATCCAGTGTGAACCCAGAAAACACGAGCAAGAGAATGTACAGCAGTACTATATATAGCAGTCAAACTCCCTCCTCAAAGAGAAAGCAAGCTCTTACCCACACCGAACACGCTCAATCCCCAGAGCGCACCCTGCGCCAGCCAGAACCACCCTCCAAGCATGCGGCCCTTGCCCTGGGCCTTACCCGAGTAGACGTATCCGTACAGGAAGAGCACGCGGGCGGCAAGCCAAACGCCGCCGAGGCCGGTCGCCAGCTCGGGGTACTTCAGGCCGGCAACGAGGGTGAAGAGCATTGTCTGAGAGGCATTCTCGAGGAAGTTGGAGTGGGCGCGCTGGGCGCAGTTGAATTGCTCGGCTTTGGCCTGTTGGTAGGGTGATGAGCGGGGGTTTCACGAAGCGGGGAGAGGAAATCAGGGGGTGTTTCATGGGCGGCGCAAACATACGCTGGACTTGCACTGCTCAATGGTGGCATAGCTGTGCGGGTAAGGGACCTTGGCTTCCTTGCGAAGGCCCGTGGTGACACCGCCGTGAATGAAGCCGAGGACAGGGATGGCGCCGAGGGCGACGGCAATGACGGCCCTGTAGATAGATGGTCAATGGCTCGGAAGGTGGAAGCAAGTCAGGATCGCACCACTCACCCGTAGTTATCAGGAACAGTAATGGCGATCATGATGGATATATATGGATAGGATAACGTGTACTAATGCGATTGATGATGGTGAGCTGTGCGGGGAGAAGATGGGTGTGGGGAAAGGTGCAGCTGCTTCTTATGGAAAAGGTGTTGCTGTCATAGCGCCAATGCCAAGGACTGGGTGCCTCAGGTTATCATCCGGAAGACGGGCCAGCCCCTTCCCGCCGGTGCCTGATCACCCCGATCGCCGGCGGACTACTCCGTGGCTTCCTTGAATCTCATCAGGGCTAGTGGGTTATTGGAAACAATAGATCAATAGTGGCTCTTTGGTTCAGATCATCTGTACGTTTGCAGGATTCCATTCCCTTCCCTCAGACGCCCACGCTTACATCTCGCGAAGTGCTTCTACACAATTAGCCAGACGGCGCGCATACGTGTTGGGTTATCACGGGCTGTCAAGAAACATTCGATTACCAATTCTAGCGAAGCTTCGACTTGCTTCTCTGCGGCTAACTCCGAGGGCTTGGCAGAAGAACATGCCGGCTGAATACACTAGACCCCTTATTCCTCCTACATCCTTCCGACTCACATTCTACTCACACTGCCATACTTCGCTTGCCATGCGAAGAAGTACAGCAAGGCTCCCAACGGCTGGCCTACAAGACAGAAGCTGATCCAGAAGATGGAATTTCCCATGGCCCTACCGGCAGGACCTTGCTTCTTCTCCATGGGAGCCGTCATCGCAATCAGGGGCAGCTGGAAGAGCATGCCCACGAGCGCAACACCTAACGGCCGGTTAGCACGACACAAGTCGACACGTGGGGGATACAGACGAGAACGCATACCAATAAGATTATGAGTGGGAATGCCCACCAGCAGCTCGTGCAGAATAGCGGAAATGGTAAAGACCGCGGAGCTGGCCGCCAGAGGACTCCAGCCCCGTCCAATCATGGGAGAATAGACATGGCGCTTCATGAAGAGATACACGGGCCGATTCCAGGACCGCCAGTACATCCCCAGACTGGAGCTGTTCCACCAGTCCGTATAAAATTCGCGATCGCCAAACCGCATCACCTCCGCCAAGGCGTTCAGTAAAGCCTGGAAGAGGGCGAAGAACCCGGCAAGCCAGATAATGAGGGAGATGGTGGACAGCTTCATCACCCGCTCCATAATGGACGCGATGTCCAGGGTAGCGATTTTGTCGATCGAGTTGCGCAGGACCGGGGCCGCATACTGCGCCGAGAGGAGCCAGATGAAAACGAGCAAGCTGAAGAACTCAAACATGCGCTTCCCCACGAACGACCATCGGATGCGCTCCGTCCGGGGGTAGACGGGCTGGTATACCAGGGTCGGGGCAAACCAGAAGTAAGCTAGGTTGCCTAGCGTGATGTTGTTCGGATACGAACAGGAGGAGTAAATCTCCGGAAGGTTCGATTCGACGGACGGCTTCAGCATCGCCTCGCGTAGATCACGGTTGGTGAAAGCGTAGGACCAGTTCTTCATGGCTACGATGATCGCATGGACCTCACAGAGCGTGCCGATGCCGGGGTGATGGATGTAGTAGTAGACCACGAAGCTCGTCACGGCCAGATTGACAACATCATTCAAAATATGCAGAGGGAGCGCAAACCGCCAGATGGTCCGGAAGATCTTGAACTGCTGGTCCCGTTCACCCTGCCCCGTCTGGCCGTCTTTCTTACTCCGACCAACCGTCTGTTTGGCCAATCCCGCTGCCGCTCGCTCCAGGACGTAGGCAACGAAGAGCTGACAAGGAATAAGCGCGAAGAGCATGGACCCCAGCACGACGTCTTGTTTCCGGTAGTCATGGCATTTGATGCAGATAAGAACTCCGTACTGTTCCGCAGAGGAGCGCAGTTAGGCTCTGGTCGGTTTCTAATTCCACCACGGACAGACTTACCTTCATAAAATTTTCAATGATCAATCGGAGGTTCATCGCCACTAGTACAGCCACGTTAGACCATCGATCGCATCGTCGACCGCGCATTCGCGGAGAAGGGAATAGTCTCACCCAGGACGATGACCATCAGATTCCGGAACCCCAGAAAGCTCGTGGCTATATTGGAATCCCGGGTCAGACACGAATGCCGTATCGCGGAGTGGTAGGCCGCAACATGGCGATATTTACTGCGCCTTGATCCGGTGGGTGCCGGGGAAGCTTCATCGGGCGGGGACTCGCCCCCGTTCTGAACTGTTCCATTGGAATTGGAGGGGAGGGTATGGTTTCCCAAGTCGACGGCGGTGCTTGACGCGGTCGCCGGCGATGAATCTTCACTCATCTTCTTCCAACTACCCTCAACAAGCTTGAACAGTTGAGAAAATCCAAGTGAAACTGGAGCGACAGGAGACTAGTGGCGACCGAGAAAGGCGGACTATCATGTGCAAATTGGAGAGGGAAAGCTCGGCACAGTAGGTATAATACTGCTAGAGGGGACAACTGCTTGCGACCTGACACCCTGCTGATTCAATCATAACACACCATCGACACCAGATAAATCAAGAAGAGTGAAAGAGAAAGAAGAAGGAGAGAAAAAGGGTGAGATAAGAGAGAAGAAAGTCCAGGGCAACATGGCGGGGTTGGAGATTAGAAACGTTTGTCGAGCGAGGAGCAAAGACCTCTTTCTCTTTCCGTTAGCTAAGGTTACTACTTACTAGGTACAGTACCTTACCCACCCTGGGACCTAGGTATTCCGTAGTTTTAGCTATAGTACAGTATTTTCCAGGGTGACCGGGGGGGGAACGTTTAGGCGTTCAAGAGGGAGCAAGCCGGAAGCCTAGAGAGGAGCCACAGGAACGCCAAAGCAGCCAATGTCGCCCGTCTGTTGGTCGACCGCCCGCAATCATCCGGCCCAAAAGACGGGCAGTTTCAAAGACTAAGTTGGACTCAAGCTAGTTAGTGAATCTTACCTCTAGACTTACCTTTACTGTTTAACTCTCTTTCGCGGTCACGGCATACACGCTATGATGGCCCCATTTTAGTTGTCGTTGGCTTTGTCTTTGTTGATCTTTATTCTTTTTCTTGTTTTTTTGCCCGAGGAATTGCTTGACTATCTTTCCTAGTTTCTAACCCCCCTGTCATGGTCGCGACCCGCTCCGACTTGCTTCCCCGTCAGCCTCATTCCCTCTTCCCCGACAGCCTAACCTAGGCCTACGCTACAATGTCCTTTTACGATGAACATGGGGGTGATGGTCAGCCTTTTGGGCGACCTCCGAAATCCTTTGAGGGTGGGATAGTGGGACCACGAAGGCCGAGTATGTGGAATGGCTTGCGATAGAGATCGTGATGATCAAAACTCACTAATCGCGTCTCCATAGGGCTGGTCACGGATTATGGCTCGTCGATGGTACAGTGGATGCGCAACCGGCGGCCGCTTTACAAGGGAGGCAATCGCATGGAAGTCGAGAGGCCCAGTGCCAGCTATATCATTGATGTGGGTTCGAATCATGACCGTGAGCTTGGAGATGGCTTGATGACTGACCGCCTGTCTCTGTTTCTCTTCCAATAGATGGCCCCTCCCATGGCGCGCGTACATTCGCCCGCCGATAGCATTCCTGTACGGCATTTACACCAATCGATCGGAAAGTCAAAGAAACCGATTACAGTCGTCAGATGGACCCCCGAAGGTCGGCGTCTGTTGACCGGTGGCCACACGGGTGAATTCATGCTGTGGAATGGCACGGCGTTTAATTTCGAAACTGTGATGGATGTGCGTATGCTTTTTGGCTCTGCGCTTCTTTCCTGAGCACGTCCAGATGGGACCGGTGCTCATTGTTCGACGGTGGTACTGACTTCGTGGATAGGCCCACTATGACCAATTGCAAGCTGGAGTGACGTCGCTCGGATGGTCGCACAGCCAAGACTGGTTAATATCGGGTGGACAGAAGGGCGACATCAAGTACTGGCGGCCAAACTTCAACAACGTTGAGACGATCGATGACGCGCATCACGATGCGGTGCGGGATCTGGCGTGGTCCCCGAGCGACAGCAAATTCCTTTCGGCATCCGACGATACCACCCTCAAGATCTTTGATTTCACCTCTCGGACCCCGGACACAGTTCTTACTGGGCATAACTGGGACGTCAAGACTTGTGATTGGCACCCGACCAAGGGACTGTTGGTTTCCGGCTCCAAGGACCACCAGGTCAAGTTCTGGGATCCGCGTACGACGAGGTGCTTGACGACGCTCCACAGCCACAAGAATACGGTCACGGCAACACGATTTTCACGAGCGAATGGGAACCTTCTTGCGACGTCTTCGCGCGACCAGACGGCGCGAGTGTTTGACCTACGCATGATGCGGGATATCTGCATCCTTCGAGGCCACGAGAAGCCCATCTCTTCGCTGACCTGGCATCCCGTCCACACGACGTTGGTGTCGACTGGGAGTGAGGACGGATCATTGTACCACTATCTACTCGACGAACCCAACGTCCCTTCGGGACAGGTTCCTACGATGGCACCGTACGACAGCCCAGACCCCGCCAATACACCGGCACAGGTCATCTACCCGGCTCATCGCGTCCAGTATGCGCATGGCGCGACGATTTGGTCCTTGGACTGGCATCCTCTCGGGCATATCCTTGCATCCGGGTCGAAAGATAATTTCACGCGGTTCTGGTCGCGGCCGCGGCCCGGGGAGACTAGCTACCTGAAGGATAGATTCCATATCGGGGAAGAGGCCGCAGAGGCACAAGGCACGTGGAACAGAGGCTTCGGAAAGCGACAAATGCGCGAAGAGGAAGAGCTGGAGATCCAAGACGAGGCCGACAGCTTGGTCGACCAGAGAAAATCCACGGGACCAGGCCTCCCCGGCATCCAGAGCTCTGGTATGCCTCATGATAACTCGGGTTCTTTATTACCCGGAATCGGTGCCCCTCAACCCCCTCCGCAGAGTGGACCACCGAACTCCATGCCTCAAATGGACCCTGGCCGCCTCGCTGCGCTCCTATCCACCCAACAACCCCCACAACAGAACCACCTTCCTCAAAACGCTGGCTTCCCCGGATTCCCCATGCCCCCTATGTCAGGGACGCCCCCAGTCAATGTCGACCTCGCGGAGCTGCAGAAACAGATGATGTCCCAAGGGTTCCCGATGCCCCAAGGGTTCCCACCACCCAACTTTCCCATGCAGATGGGTGGCGGCGGCCTTCCTGGTCTGCAGGGGAGCGGCACGCCCGACAATGCGTACGGCAGGTAACGACATTATCACATTTGGTCAACTGGTCCCTGGGAAAACTGGCGTCAAGGCAGGTAACGACTTGTTGGAATCTTCTGGTCTCTGATAGCATTGTGGCACACATTTAGTGGCTGCTATAATTTCTTCTTTGCATGTATCATAAGGCGATCGTGAACAAGGATCCGAATGGGAGGTTTAGCATGAACGGAGGGTCTGTATCCCTTGTGCACGCTTAGTAATATATTCATCCTCGTGCCCGTCGTCGATGTATCACAGTCCACCTTGCATAGGGAAGCTGGAAAGTATTAGGACGAGCACGTTGATGCCGCCCCATACGATCGGGATCCAGGTCGACATTCGAAAGTTACCGGCTTCGTAGACTGCACCGAGACTATTGGCGAACCGTCAGCACTCTGCCACAACATTGACCGTAGTAGAACAGAAAAACCCACACAAGACCGATAATACTCCCAGCCAAGAGCGCCTCCAAACCCGCAATAACGATATAGACGAGCGGAACAGCAACACATATCCTCCAAGTGCGACCCTGCATAAGCAGGGCAAAAGCCGCAACCGCAAGGTGGCTCGCCGAGTAGAAGATCAGTGTCCAGTAGAGGGTGAAGCGCCAGATATCTTGAGTGTAGTAGAGGTAGAAAGCCTGGGCGTTGGGTCGCGGAAAGGGATCGTAGAGCGACGGGAACGCCGGCGTTTGGTAATTGATCGGAACACGGTTGATGGCCATTTCATTTCGTTTCAGGCCCCGAGCCAGCGAGGGATGGTCCAATGTCTCCCCTTGTCAACCGCACGGTCCGAATGTGATCGGGGCGGAGAACATGCCAGTGTAATGGGCGTTGTGTCGGAGTTGGAGGACTAGGGGGAGTACCTTAATTCGGGGGGTTCCAGAGCTTGGACTACAAGAATTACACCTTACTATTCAGGTGTGATGACGACCCGTGGTTTGCACTGTTTGTTCCCGGAATGCTTAAACCTCGGCAGGTGATCTGGGGTCTCCGCGGTTGGGGCCGAATAGCGATAGTCATCCTAAACAACTTCATTCTCTCCCCTACTCCGGAGTCTCTCCCTTCTTATGTTTACCTCGCCCAACAGCGTCTGATTTTGATTATGGCAACAGAGCGCTCACTGGGCGCTCTTCTGCGATCTCTGCAGACTTCTTCGGATACCCAGGATGCTTTCGCGTGAGCTGTTCCCGTTCCCCTCCGGCTCCTCGGCTTATACTGACTACTGATCTCATCATGATTAGCCTGCTGCCCACAGCCACCAGCCTCCTGTCTCTGCTAGGAAATCCGTTGAATCTCAGTCTCCTAGCATCGCAATTACTATCGGCACCCGCGATTTGGGATCATCCGATCGATCTCCACGCCTGTCGCAAGATACTCAGCGTGTTCAATACAGCCGCCATCACCGTCCTACATAACGAAACAGCGGAGGATACAAGGATCCCCTACGCGGGACCTCCAAAACTTGGGCGAGAGGAATGGGTCAAGGCCATCGTCACCGGGGCGGACGATAAATCACCGCGATGGAGGCATCTGCTGTTGATCGGGGGTGTGCTTCTCGGGTTCGAGGGACAGAACAGACAAGGTCTGTCGTGGAGCGTGCGCAAGAAGCTCGAGTCAGCTCTGGTGACGGCTGCCCAGCTGGCTCTCGAGGAGCTGGATCCCAACGGTGGGATCGACGGTCTTTGCGTGACTATGGTCTTGAACTATTCGTTTGAGCTCCTGTCGGACTTTGAGAGGGGACACCTCGAATACGATCGATTGTTGCCCGTCATGGTTGATGCGGTCTATTCTTCGCCGGAAGGACTCGAGCGGGGATACTTCCTCGGGACGGTTGATAAGGATATTGTGGAAGGCCCTGCGAAGAAATTCATGTGGTCGCCGCAGTCTTTTACTTTCAACCGTGTAACTGGGATCTCGTCGAGCCCGCTGGTGTCAGCTCTGGGCCCGCTCTCGCGGCTCATCGCTCATGCGGTCGAGAACGCCCGTGATCCGAGCTTGGTGGTCAGGACTGTCGACTACATCGCGGAATTCGCGCGCACGTTGATGGTCCAGTGGCGGCAGAACAAGTTGTCGGAAGTGGACAAGACGGAAGAGACCGATTTCCTGGACCCGGAGTCGCTCCAGAACACGATCCCAGGCCTGTGGAAGTTGCTCCGCAACAGTCTGTATTCGACGGTGATCGTCCTCCGGGCTGTCTTGGGAAGAGTGATCAATGATAAGGTGCTGGCCGCCAACAAGAGTGAGTACTCCCACTTTTACCGGTTGACTCTGTATTGTCCAGTGCTGTCCAGCTGACTGATGTAGACGCACCGTTTCTGTCGATGCAAGCACTGCATGTTCTTCGAAACATGTACTTTATCACTTCCCGCATCGGGCAGAATGTGTCTTCGCAGCACATGTTCGTGACGCTAGCAGCCGTGGATATCCTTTCCCAGTATCCCGACCTGGCCGAGAATTTCATGAGAAGCATCAAGCCAAGCGACGTGGGCCAGATCCCCGCCCACCCCGTCGAACGGGCCCTCGACCTGTACTTTCTCAACACCGCAGAGCTGTTTACCATCGTTCTGTCGCCTACATGCAGTGAGGAGCTCCTCATCTCAGCCGCCCTCCCATACCTCCCCGCAGGAGGAAACAACAACCTACTTGACATATTCGAAGCCGCCCACAGCACCTGTCTCGCGGTGTTCGCCATCCCCACCAACGCATCCATCGCAGCCAAATATCTCCCATTCTACGTCGACAATCTCTTCGCGGTACGTCGTAACTCCCCCCATCCTAACCCAACAACCCACCACTAATACCCCATCCACAGGTCTTCCCGAAAAACCTCTCCATCCGGCAATTCCGCCTCGCATTCAAAACCGTCCTCCAAGTAACAGCCCCACCCTCCCCAATCGCCAACTCCAACCGCCTCCTCCCCTCCATCCTCCTCGAAGTCCTCTACGACCGAGCCCACCGCGCCTCAGGAGACGCCCTCCCTCAGTCCGCCCAAGGCTTCACCAACGAAGACATGGGCAAATCCATCCCGCTATCCGAACAAGCAGCGCTCACGCTCTCCCTAATCGACGGCCTCTGCTTCCTGCGCGTCGACGACCTCGAAGAATGGCTCCCTCTGACGGCCACTCTCGTCAACATGATCCGCGGCCCTGACATGCGCGCGCACTGCGTCCAGCGATTCTGGGAGGCCCTCAGTAATGGCGAGATGGATGTTGAGCGTGCTAATTACTGTGTTACGTGGTGGAGTACCAAGGGAGGTCGTGAGTTGGTGCTGTTTGGGCCGGAGATGGAGCATGCGAATACGGGGTCTGACCAGGGGGCGTATATGAGTGGTGCGATTGGTGGCGTTGCGCCGGAGAGTAAACTTTGAGTTGGGTTGTTTTTGCTGGCGTGGCGTTGTGCGCGTGTTTAGTTCGATATATTATACCATGGAGCGATGTATACATAGCATGAATATGAACATTACTATTTATTATATACTATAGTACAGGCGGAAAGGCTCTTACTTCATGCTGGGATTTGAATTGACACTAAGGATACATACTCTATCTATACTGCTAACTGTACACACTACACGACGCCGGATTTACCGGAGTCCAGGGATTCCCACCCATGACCGCTTCCGGTATTCAAGGTACTCATCCCCAAAGAAAGCGATCAGGAACTTTTCCTCTCCTATAAGCACTAGTTAGTACCGAGCCCGGATAGTCCACGATGTGAGAAAGAGGGGGGGGGGACGCACTATAAATCCGATTATGGAAGAAATTCCACAGCACAAACGCATAACCCACAAAACAAACCACATTACCCAGCACAAGCTGCGTGCCGAGCCCCCACCAAAAGAAGCCAAAGTAGCTCGGATGGCGCAGAACGGCGTAGATCCCGTGCTGGACGAGCGTGTGGCCGTCCTTGCGCTCGACTTGCACCGTGTGGTTGAAGTTACTGCCTGCCTGGGCCATGGCGAGGGTGCGGGTTATCTGGCCGATGGCCATGAGGACCAGGCCCAGCGCGACTTGGATCTTTGTGGCTGTGGGGTTAAGGGACCAGGGGAAGAGGGTGGGCCAGAGGGTGTGCGATAGGAGGCATTCTAGGATAGCGGAGGAGTGGGCGAGGTTGTAGGCCCAGCCGTTGGAGGAGAGGAGGAAGGCGGAGATAGAGGCGTAGTGCGTGTTGTATTCGGCTGTGACCCAGTATTCGAGGAAATGGAAGGCGCTGAGCGCGGCGAGGAAGAAGGGGGCGCGCCAGAGGGGGTGTGCGGTGGTGGTGGTGGTGGTGGTGGTGAGGATGACTGCTGTGAGGGAGAGGGTGAGGCCCAGGGTCGTGCCGAGGAGGAATGCGCGCAGGGAGATGCCGGAGAGGGATTTGGGTCCGTTGGGGTAATTGCTGCGGTCGAGGGAGGGGGGTGGGGTCGGGGGGGAGGGCTCTTGAAGTCGGATTCGGCGCGGGTGCCAGGTGTTGTTGGTGTCGGCGTTGTTGTTATTGGGGCTGGAGGTGGGTTCGGGGCTGGAGGAGGAGTCTGTTGGGCGGGATATCGGCCAGGATATATTGGGGTTTCCTGGGGATTGACCCCGGTAGTCTGAGGCGGAGGAGGTCATCTTGGTAGTGTGTGGTTGAGGGACACGTGTTGGGGAGGTGTATCGGTCGGGGAGAGGCAATTGGTGTTTTATACGTTCAGACTCTCATGACTGATGTATAGGAAGGACCTGTAGCTGTGGTGAAGGTAATCGAGGTATTTATAACCAGCGAGATGGAGAAGAATGAGAGCGAGAGGAAAAGAACAATGTCAGTCTGGGCGGAGAACAATATGAAAATGATTGATCGAGTCTAGTCCCCGCTCTCCAACACTAGTCAATTCTTGGGTGTCTCCACACCATGATACGTAGTAGTAACTCCGACTGCCAGGTCCCGTCAACAAAGCTGAGACTATTCCCCCGCTTCTTGACAAACAAGGATCATTTCCGTTTCAAGCCACGCAGAATTCTCATCGAATTATGGATCATCCAACAGAGAGAGAGAAGATGCTCCGCGGGGAACTTTACCGTGCCTTCACCCCGGATCTCATCGCTGCTCGGTCTCGCTGCTCTCGTGCCTGTCGCCGCTTCAATAGTATGGAGGAGGTGTCTCGTCGACGTCAGGTCGAGTTGTGGAAAGAGTGAGTGAGTGATCAGGGGAAACTACTACGGTCAATTTGCCTCCTTCCATGGATTTCTATCTGTCAATTTGTCTCGATGATCTGTCACTCCCAACCCATATTACGCCTGTATATTTACGAGTCATCACATTATGACTGTTCTGCTAACACGATACTGTCCAGTATCACAGAAGACACAACTCCCCTCCCACCGATGCAGGAGAGCCCCGAGGAGGACGATGCGTTGTTTGAAAACGAGCCCTGGGTGGAACCGCCGATCCGCATGGACTACGGATTCAATGTGAAGCTGGGAGAGGGCGTGTTCATCAACCACAATTGTGTAATCATTGATACCTGCGTGGTGAGCATCGGCGCGCGCACCCTCTTCGGACCGAACGTCCATCTGTACAGTGGAACCCACCCCTTAGACCCGGCCCTGCGCAATGGCACCAAGGGCCCCGAGACTGGGAAGGAGATCCACATCGGTGAGGATTGCTGGCTGGCCGGCAACGTGACCGTTCTACCTGGGGTGACTATTGGGAAGGGAGCGGTTATTGGAGCGGGGAGCGTGGTCACAAAGGTACGGCTTCGCCCTGGACGTAGCAAGTGTTGCAACGTGCTAGATCTTTCCCCTCTTCTCTTTTCTGCTCTTCTTTTGGTTTTATCGGACCACAGTAGAGACAGCAGCTAACCGCAGGACGGACAGGATGTCCCGGCTTTCCACTTGGCCGTGGGAAACCCAGCCCGCATTATTCGTCGAATTGAAACGGCAATGGCTGAACAATGAGGGGGAGCTCGGATTAACTTTCGCTGCAGAGTGGGATGCCTTGAACACTGATGACAAAGTACCTTGTTTCAAGGACAGTAGTCTGACTCCTGTGGTCGGTCGGAGCCATGGAGAAGCTCTAACAGGTGACATAAACATTCAACTCTTTCTTTTCTTTCTTTTCTTTCTCTCGTTTTGTGATCGACCCCGCTAGAAGTCCGGATAATGCCGGCTGCGTCGAGGGACCTTATCTGGATTATGTATAGTTTATGGTGCTTGTTTCCAGCATTTTGTCGAGCCAAATTCTTTCTATCATAGAACAGCGACCACTTTTCTGACGTGCATAGATGGTTTATAGTACTGGGAGGAGACCAGCTCTGCAGCCATGTGAAGGGAAATGCCTGTCTCCCGCCGGTGATGCTTCTATAGTTAAGACAGCCGGATTTTTAGCCAAGTAAGGGGATGATACCATTCCATTCCCGTCCAAAGTGTTCCCATATTATTCAATCTAATATTATTTTCGATTTAATAATATCCCCTACAGCTTCCAATGGGCCGGAATCAATTAACTAAAGATGCATCGATGGGACGGATTCTATTGTCAATATTTATACATGGGTCACTTGTTTCAATAGGATCGGGAGAACGGGAAAGATGGACAAGACTGACGTAATGGTTCGCGGTATATCAATTTCGGCGCGCGTTAGCATGACAGGAATGTACCTCCATTGGGGATTGGGGTCGACTATAGGTCTACTGCTTGACATTAAGTTCCTGGAAATCCGAGAAACTCTAGGCCATCTATTCTGTGTTTTCCCCTCTTGTTCATCCAGCCCCAGCGTCATTCATTTGTGGTGCAGAAAGAAGCCTTGTCCTTGAGGGAGAAGAGTGCCTGAAAACAAATCAATGGATGGAATATGAATCAAAGAAATAGAAGGAAATCGAAAATGGTGAGTAGAGAAGAGAAATATAGGATAAACATTAAAGTACAAAATAATTGAATTCAATGAATCAATATAGAACCATTGAAATAATCAATAGAACAATATAGACTCCACTATCAAGCTCTTATCGAAGCTCCAGCTGTGTTGGATCTGCCTGTCTTGCCCGCACAGTTTTTATCGGGCTCTCTTCTTCCTCTTCACTCTGTTGACTCTTTTTTCCCTCTTCTTTCACTCTTCACTTACTATGATCCTCTTCTTTCATCCGACAATTCTCCCTCTACAATCTTTCTGGGTGTGTTATTTAACTGGTTAACTGTCCCCCTTCTTGTTCCCTCCTCACTCCCTCCACCGCTTTCTCTTCTCTCGCCCCTCCATCTTATCTTCATCTCTTCCTGCCGCGTCTGCTGTCACGGAGCTTCCCTCTTTCTTTGAATCAACCCTTGATTCTTCCCTGGCTACCTAGTTGGGTGATACGCCCTTTCCTATTCACAGTCACTCTTCTTTTCCCCCCTTTTCTTGGTGCTCCTTGGTCAAAATAGGTCGTGGAAAAAATGTCATGGCAGCTGCCCCGATAGACGACAGCTCGACCCCCCCGCCTGACCCTGTACCTGCCGATTCGACGCGTCCTCCCCGCGATTCCATGGAAGACTCCGACCCCCAGTTGACCCGGAAACGTCCTCGTCTCGATAGTGGCTCGCCCCCTCATGAGGATTGTTCAACCGACCAGACTCCCGTTTCTCGAATGCCCGAGCAGACTCCCGATGCTGGTCCGGCTTCGTCGCCGCAGGACACCCCTGCGTCGACCCGACCCGCCAGCCGCATGACGATCAACGTCAAGTCGCCCGTCCCCGACCTCATGGCCTCCGTCTCAGAGGACCTGCCCGCCGAGCGACCGTCCGTCGAGATCCCCGAACCGCCCCTCGCAGACGATACCGGGACCCATCTGTCCAACGCCATCTCCGTCTCGTCATCCCCCGCCCAGAGTCCGGAGATCGAGGTGGCGGACTTGGAGGATATGGGTCAAGATCCGAACATGTCGAGCTGGAACTCGCTGGGCGACGCGCTGGGAGATCCCGAGATCGTGCAGATACAGGAACAGCCATCGCTGACCGACCTCTTCCCGAAACTGCAGGACAATCTCGATTTGCGCCACAACGTGCAGCAGATCAGTCTCATGATCCAGAAGGGCCCAGCGCACGATGTGACCTGTTTTGCGGCGATCAAGAGTTGGCTTGACGACGTGGTCCAGAACCTCGACCAGCTGACTTACGGCATATTGTTGGAAGACCGTGAATTTTGGAAGGAGGTGCCATCCCTGGTGGAAGGCCTGCTGCACAGACGGTATGTAGCTCGATCCTACGTCCTGGAAAACTTCCGTCGGGTCCCAACCCCCACTGACCGGATCGCATTAGGCAAATCCTTCAACCGGATGAAGGTCAAGGCCCTGTCGCATGTTTGCAAGAATTCCTCAGCGGCTTCGCCCGACTGGCCCTCCACATCCTTCACCTGGATACTTTCCTTCTGAACCAAATCCTCGAGGGCGTGGACATATCGGTGGGCGACTTGTTGTCGAGGCCGTATTTGGCCGCGGTGGCGGAGATGATCCGGGGCCCGCCAATCCCCTTGTATGATGCTATGGATAGGGTGTCTCACACATGGGAGGGCTCGGGCCTGGCCGCTCGCTTGCATGCCCAGGTCACCGCGCCTCCCCTGAGCATCGCCAAGCGGGTCTCCGAGTATGGTGCCTGCATCATGGCGCTCATTCCCAGTTCCCCGCAGCTGTCCTCGGCCCTGTTGGCGGTCTTGGTGGCTGCGCACAACCTGATCGAGCCTGGCCGCACGTCCGAGCCGGATCAGGCTGTGGTTGCGTCCCCCGAGACCCGCCGCACGGCCGAACTGGTTTACAGCTTGGTCCGGGCCGCGGATGAGTGGCTTCAGACTCATGTCACCAAGAAGTCTTCGTGGGTCACCAGTGAGGTCAGCGAGGTCGTAGCTCACCAGCTCGGGATCGCTTATCACAAACTCTGCACCTGTGACTCGGACCTGGCCCTACAGGTGGCCCAGGATCTGTCTATCAGGCTTCCCGAAGGTCTCCCATCTGATCAGATCCCCACCATCATCCACCACGGCTGGAGGTTCGCGCTGTTGAAGAAGCATGTCATGGAAGGCCGCATGGAGCTCCGAGTCCACGGCGTCGAGGGGATTCAGTCTGATCTCATCAGTATTTGGAGAAATTACATCCAGAAAGATCCCTCGGGTGTTGACCATCCGGTGGTGCAATACATGGTCCACTTGCTGAGAGAGAGCAAGATCGTCGAGTATATTGTCGGGGTCGACTCTCACCCTCAACTGATCAGCCGAAGCGGGAACTTCGTCGGTTTCTTGATCGTGACGTCCGCGTACACCGATATGGATACCGACATAATCTGGAAGGCTGTGACTGACAGTCCCGACCCGCGGACGGTGTCCGAGATCTTGGGAATGCTGCTGAAGACTATCCACATGCATCCGTCGGCCTCTCCCGCCCTGATCTATCTATGCTCCAAGCTTCTCGACCTCCCCCTTCCCCGGTTTGATCCCCGCATGCTGGAGTTCTGTGAACAGCTTCTGAACCAGGTTCGTGAGCAGCATAGCGCAAGGGCCGATCACGACCTGTTGGAGAGGACTCATGTGGAGGCCATTCCGTTGCGTCTCTGTGTGCGCCTGATTCGGGAGAGTGCTGCAACCACGGAGCTGGCTTTGGACCACAAAGCACTGCTGCAGAAGTTTGCCAGCACCCAGCTGCGCCTTTTCATGGACACGGGTCTCAGCGATATAGACAAGATGGAAACATACGAGCAGTGCGTGCAGGATATCGCCGAGATGAACCAGTTTTCTGTGGGCAGCGTTCAGGCCCTGGACGCTCTGATCCCGCAGTTCGATTCCCAGGAGATCCGGAAGCTCGCGACGGACTTCGATCTCACCCGTTTGGTGATCGCGGAGCTGGCCCACATCATCGAAGCGGAACAACCGGATCTGACAGACCCATTCGCGAGGAACGGCCTTCTTTCCCGGATTTACTTACTGATTCGCATCATCGACAAGGTTCCCGACACGATCACCCCGGATCTGGCCGATGTGCTCTGGCGGGGAATCTTCATGTCCAAGATGTTCCCTCCGCCCGGCCGGCCGACGCTCTGGGAACTGCTGTGTGGAATTGTCCAGCATGCCGTGAAGAGGAACCCGTTCATCGATCGCTGTGTGAGCGACTATCTCCCTGAACTCTCTCCCGCAGAGGACTATTCTACGGAGGTTCTCGCATTCGCCAAGCATACCGTCGACTACGAGGTCCGTTTCGATCCTCCACCAATCGCGGCCGAAGGTGAGATCGTCTCGATTCCGGGAATGGATCGAATCTGGAACTTCATCTTGACGGCTCCGCCGAATTCCATCGAAACGGACGCCACGAATTTCGCCATCCAAGTCTACCTCGACCACCCGGCGATCAGACGGGCCCCGCGGTCGGCTATTGACGCGACCCATATTGCCCTGGTAGATCGTTGTGTCGACCAGCTCCGATCGGCTGCGTCCGTGTTGAAGACGAGATCTGGACATCGCCCTGACGAATCGAACGGCTCGACGCTAGAAGCAGTACCTGGAGGCGAGCCTCAGACGGAAGAGATGAGGTTCAGTCGCTCTCTGCTTTTTCTTCGGCAGTTCTTGCAGGGCTTGCGCAGTCGACCCCAGTATAGCCCGCCCCAGACCTCCCCGCCAAGCTTGCCTGGACGGCCGGGTAAAGGGGACATGGTCAGCATCAAATACCAGGCGTTTGACGGCCCGAACAGTTCGAACATGCGCACATTCCAGATCGGGGAGCTTTCGACTGCTGCTGAGGTGGTTGAGACATTGGTTCAAGTGACCGGTTTCTCCAAGTTTACCACCATCCATGGTGGGGCAAGATTCAACCTCTTGGATAGTCCTGACCTCAC